CGTGGCGGCGGGGGCGGGGCGGGGGCCGGCAGGGTTGTGGGGGGGGGCTTGGATGGGCGCTGCGGCCTTCGCGGCCACGGGACTTGATGGGTGGGGTTGGCTGTGTCTGTAGATGAAGGGGTTAGCGGAGGTGGGGGCGCGGGAGATGCGGTTGGGTGCAGGGACGCTGTCTTCCGGGGTCCGTGGGGGGGAAGGTGGACGCCTGGGGGCGGGTGCTGCTGTTACTGACACGCACGGGCCCGGGGAGGGGCTGCTGGGGGTAGGGCGGTGTGTTGGGGGTGCGGAGGCGGCTCTGTTGGCAGGATTGGGGGGGCCGGCGGCCTGCCCCTGGTAGGACCGCAGGGGCGTGGCGTGGGTCTGGCACCGCCGGACACCCCTCCACCGCAGGCGTGCAGCCGCGCGCGTTGGGTGGGAGGCTGCCCAGGGCAGGGACGCTGGACCGCGCTGCGGGGTGGGGAACCCCGGCCTTACTCCCCTTCCTCCACAGCCGCCATGTTCACCCAGCAGCTCCAACAACAGCAGCTCCAGCAACAGCAGCAGTTGCTGCAAATCCAGCAGCTGCTCCAGCAGTCCCCCCCGCAGGCCCCCTTGCCCCTGGCGGTCAGCCGGTGAGTCCCGTCCGTGGGGGGTGGTCAGCTCCAGCCCACCATGTCTGAGCCCCCATCCCAGCCCTTTCTCCCCAGGGCGTCTCAGTGCGAGTCCTGGTGGTCAGCACCCTGAAGGGTGGGGAGGGGCTTCAGGAAAGAGGGAGGGTCTGTCTGTCCCAGTAACCGTGTCCCGTCCCCTCCCGGCGCGCAGGGGGCTGCCCCAGCAGCAGACACAGCAGCAGCTTCTGAGCGTCCAGGGCACCGGCTCTGCCTCCCTCCTCAACGGGCCTATGCTACAGAGAGCTCTGCTGCTGCAGCAGCTGCAAGGTAGGGCCCCCCAGTAGCCCCCGGCCACCCGCCGTGACCCCGAGAGGGAGCCAGGGTGCGCGGGGTCGCACGGAGGCCTCGCGCAGGTAGAGGCCCCCAAGCTGCTCAGCGGAGAGCAGGGGCGCCCTTGGCGGGCGCTGGGCTGGCTCCTTGGGGGCACTCAGATTCAGACAGGAGAAGGGGGGTCCTGGCACTGGGTCCCACGGCACCGCCTGGCTCTCTGGATGCCGTGCATCGAGGCTGTGACCCTGCCTCGGTTTCCCCACGTGGAGAAGTCAGTTCTTCCTTCCAAGATCTCCCTAAAGGGAGATACTCCCAGAATCCCGTGTTACGAAGGCCCCAGGAGGGATGGCGTGCCCAGGGTCAGGCCAGGCATCAAGTAGGTGCTGATGGGGTGGTCCCCGCTCCTCAGCCCTGCCGGGTCATGGGGTGCAGACGGTCCTGGTCCTGGGCTTCCAGACGACAGGTGCACGGATGGAGAGAGAATGGCAGTATATAGTATAGACGTGTGTTTTCCTCTTTTGCATTCCCTTCGTAGAAGTCACACCCTTCAAAGTGAAAAAAATATTTTAGCAAAGGGGACAGGAAAACCCGAAGTGTCACCTGGAGATCCACTCGCCGGCTGGAGAAAGCCCACGCCACTGTTTTTATACGGGAGGTTTCCTCCCCGGCTTCCCCAGGACGGCTCGGGGAGTGGTACATGGAGGCTGCACCCAGCTTCCGTCTCACAGGATAGAGTGGCATGGCCTCTTCCCAGGCGACTCCAGAGTCCGTGCCAAGGTTGTGGGGTGTTTTTGAAAGGATTTATTCCTGCAATCTTGTTGCCTTTTTTAAAAAAAAAAATATTTATTGAGAGGTAGAGTTACAGACGGAGGGAGAGACAGAGAGAGAGGTCTTCCATGCACTGGTTTATTCCCCAAATGGCCACAACGGCCGGAGCTGGGCCGATCAGGAACCAGGAGCTTCTCCTGGGTCTCCCACGTGGGTGCAGGGGCCCAGGGACTTGGCCATCCTCCACTGCTTTCCCAGGCGCATTGGCAGGGAGCTGAATTGGAAGTGGAGCAGCCAGGACTTGAACCGGTGCCCACAGGGGATGCTGGCATTGCACAAGGCAGCGGCTTAGCCCACTGCACCGCAAAGCAGCCCTGAGGTTTTTAGTTTGTAGGTTTTTTTCTTCACCGTTTACCGGGAGGGCTATGAAGTTACCTGCCTAAGCCTTCTCAGCTGTTTTTTCCTTCCTTTATTTTTTTTCTCGCTGATTTAAATGACATTGAGTGACTGTGATGTTTCTTAGAAGGAGCAGAATGCCGGCGTCGGGGTGGGGGTGGCTGTTTGATGACTCCTGATACATGTTGCCAAATTGCTTTCCTAAAGGACTGGACCAGTTTGCAATGCCACCAGCCACGTATGACAGTGCCTGTCTCACCATGCCCACGGCAACACTGGGTATTATACGCTTTTTAACAAATCTATAAATGTGTCTCGACGCGTAACTTACTGAGTCTGTTGGCAAAGAGTCCCCGTAGCTGCTGTTTGAATTTCCATCCTTGGAGCGCTAGTGCCGTTGAACATTTTCCTTGTTGTATTTCCTTGTTGTATTTCTGTTTGTGACTTGTCCATGTCCTTCGTCCGTTTGGTTTTTTTTTTAGAGCATTTTAGGGGCACAGTGGCTCTCAACACAAACACGTGCACCTGTTTAAGTTCACGAGAACTGAACGCTCACGGCGTGCCAGGCACATCTGCACCTCTCCCTGCACCCCGTACAGTAGCATTAGCCCCACTGCAGATGGGGCACTGTGCAGCTGCCCCGTGCCTCTCCCTTAGCAGCGCGGCGAGAGAGCCGACTGCTGCTCATGCTGCTACACTTCCAGGCTCCAGGCCTCCCCCGAGGCGCGGGGCTCGGTCAGATGCCGTGCCGCAGGAAGAAGGCAAGGAAGTTAGGCGGCCAGCCCTGAGGACGAGGAGGCTGAGGCCTGCGGGACGGAGGGGGTCTGCTCAGGCCCCTTGGAAGGGAGGCAGCTAAAGGGAAGTGAAAGACGGTGGGGAGCTAGCGAGGCAGAGTGGCCCCGGCACGGGGAGCAGCGTGTGCAAAGGCCCAGAGGCAGGATGTCTGAGGGATTGCGCAGGGACCTGTGCCAGGGTGGAGGGGGGCCACGTGTGGGAGAGTGGCAGTTCAGTGGGGTGGGGGCTTGGGGCAGGGCAGGGCCTGCACCGTACAGCTCGGAGCAGGAAGTGGGCCACGGGCAGGAAGTGATTTTAGAATGATGCTTGGGCCGTCCTGTGTGAAGGCCGTGACCAAAACTCGGGCGCGGGGTGACGTGGCTTTGGGAGTTGGTAGGATCCTTATAGACGGAGCGATCAGGGAGACCCCGAGATCTGACCGGGGCACTAGTGGCGCTGTCCCCACAGAGACCCCACCCCCAAACTGCTCCTCCACTTTGTGTCTCGGTTTTGTCAGGGGTGGGCCGGGTGACTGGGGTTGGGCCGGGTGACCACTGTGAGGCTGGAGCCTCAGCCCAGTGCCTGGCTCACTGCAGGCCCGTGAGGAGGGGCGGCTGGTGGGCTAGGGCGTGTCTTCCTACCCGAGGTGCTGGGTCTCTCGCCTTGCTCTGAAGCGTGGCGGGGTGGGGGGCTTGAAGGGGGCGGGATACTCTAGCCGCTGACCAGGGAGCCGAGGGGCCCTTAGACCTCCATCCCCCGTGCCCCAGGTGGGACTGAGCCTTGGGCTCTCATCTCGTCCCTCGGGCCGCCCTTGGGTGGGCACGGTCCCCTTGGGAGTTATCTGTGCTGTGCCCGTGGTGCCCTGGGGCCCTGCCGCTGCCTCCGTGCCTGCCCCCCGGCCTGGGCGTGACCGTCGTCCTGCCCGTTCCTTGCCCACAGGGAACCTGCGTGGGTACAGCCTGGCAGCCCCGAGCCTCTCGCCCCCGCAGCTGGCCACCCCGAACCTGCAGCAGTTCTTTCCTCAGGCCACGCGCCAGTCCCTGCTGGGCCCCCCTCCCGTCGGACTCCCCATGAACCCCCCGCAGCTCGGCCTCTCAGGGCGGACCCCCCAGAAGCAGGCCCGGACCCCTGCCTGCACCACCCCTAGTCGCAAGGTGAGTGGCGACGGGGCCAGAGGGGACGCTGGGTGTCCACCGCGGGGGCGGGCCACACGGCCTCCTTGGGCCTCAGCCCCGAGCACCAGCAGTACTGTTACTTAGTTAACGTTTCTCCGTAAGGCAGCACTGCCCAGGGGAGACCTAGAACGTGCAGCCTTCCAGTCGGGGCTGGTGTGACACGGTCTGCCCGTCTCCCCTCCGGGAGATCCATGGCAGCCCTGGGGTGAGCGAGGCAGCCCCGGAGTCCTGGCCTCCTGACCCGCAGGCTGCCTGCGCTGTGCGGCCAGGGAGCCGGCGAGTGTCTGGGGGTGTGGGGCCCCGGTGTGGTGAGCGGACTGCTGGTCCCCACTCGGCTCCAGTCTCTGGGCTCAGCGGCGGGTGGGGAGGCTGATGGCTGCCCAGGACTGGCCCAGCTGTGTGTGCAGTTAGCAGGCACCTGCAGGGCCTCCGCGGTGCAGAGGGGCATCTGGCCCGGCCCTCCAGAGGCCTGGGGTGCGGAGGGGTGTGGGTGAGACGTGAGTCCAAATAATGCCCCAGCCAATTAATGCCGGCCGGAAAATGCCACAGAAAGGCAGCCGAAGGCCCTCTGGGGACCTAGATAGACTCGGGGGCTTGCTCCCGGGCTGGGGTCAGCAGGACTTCCTGCAAGAAGTGACTGGAAGCTGCGGGTGAAGGCCTGGGGCCGAAGGAGACCAGAGAGGCCGGTGTGGGTGCCCAGAGGGCCAGAGGCTAGCAGAGACACAGGAGGCTGGAGGGGCCGGGTTGTGTGGGGCAGGGGGTGGCAGGTGGGGAGGGTGGCTCCAGGCTTGGGGGAGGGGCATTCGGGTGAAGCCTGAAAGACGAGAGACCCTAGCAGCCCTGCGTTTTACAAGGGTCCCCCAGGCTGCTCCGTGGGGGGGGGGGGGGCTGTGGAAGTCGGCGCCGCAGGCCTGCGGCCCCCGTCCTGGGTTATTTAACAGGCAGCCTGGTGGGACTCCAAGACCCAGTTCCTGGGGTATTTAAGGTCATCTGCTCGGCAGCCCGGGGCCAGACTGCGTCCCCTGGGGGACGGCATGGCCGTGTCGGGCAAGGGGGCCCGCTGGGGCTGGGCGGCAGGTGGCAAACACGGCGTCTGAGAGGAAGCAGGATTCCTCTTCTCAGACGGTGCCCGGGGAAGACAGGCCAGACCCCCCAGAGGGGTCTGAAGCAGCTGCAGCGCCCCCAGAGGAGGTGCCTGAAGGTGAGGAGGAGGGGCAGGGGTTGGGGCGGGGGGGGGGAGGGTCAGCAGGTGGCTTGGGCAGATGTGGGAGGCGGGGATCCCTGCAGGGGGCTGAGCCCAGTTCCACGTCGTGGCGCTCCTCCCTGCTCCACCTGGCGCCTGCGTGCCCGCCTCTGCCTCCGTTCCAGACCAAGATTCGGCCCCCTGCCCAGACACCATCTCTAGGGAGAAGCACGCGCTGCCGCCTGAGCCCGAGCCCGAGCCCGAGCCCGAGCCTTGTGAGCTGTCGGAGCCCCCGGCCAAGAGGTCAAAGAGGTAACTGATGCTGCAGACCCGCCTGGAGCCCCCACGCCCGGTGCCGGCCTCCCGCACAGGCCGGGGCGGGGTGGACCCTCCGTGGGGCAGTGGGAGGGCCTTGGCCTCTGGCTTGGAGGAGAAGCAAACTTACTTCTGCCCCGTTCACTAGAGGGGCTCCCGACCAGACTGGATCTTCCTTTGGACTGACCCGAGTCGGGCTGGGGGTGCAGAAGCGCATTTGGGACCTCAGAGGGTGGGCAGTTTGCGGTGCTAATTGAACCCAGGTTAGCAAGCTGTGGGAGGTGGGAACAGTGCTCCCCAACTTAGTTAGGTGAGACCGAGGCCCAGAAAGCCAGAGTTAAACCAGTTCCCTGGCTTATGAGCGGCAGCACTGGGATTGGAGACTGGGTCTTGGCCTTTCTTGAGAGCCCCTGGCATCTTGATTTTTCTCTCTCCCAGCTCCGAGGAGCCCGCAGAGCCGGCGCCCACAGGACAGCTCAAGGTGAAGGTCCAGCCCCAGGCCCGGACGACAGCACCAAAGCAGACACAGACGCCGGAGCTACTGCCCGAGCCAGTGGAAGCCCGGGTGCAGCCCCGATTCCAGCCACGGGTTCTGCAGGTCCAGGCCCAGGTGCAGCCGCAGACTCAGCCACGGATGCCGCCAGCGGAGCCCCGGGTGCAGCCAAAGCTGCAGAAGCAGGCACAGACACAGACCTCCCCAGAGCACTTGGTGCCGCGGCAGGAGCAGGCGCAGCCCGGGCGGCTGCGGGAGGCAGAGCCCCAGAAGCAGGTGCAGCCGCCAGCACGCCCGCCGCCCCCGAGGCAGGCGGAGCCGCAGCCGCTGAAGCAGGCCCAGACGCAGACGTATCCACAGGTACTCCCCCAAGCACAGCCAGGGCTCCAGCCGCAGGAGCAGCCTGCTGAGCAGTTGCCAGAGCGGACCCAGCCACACGCGTCGTGGCCAGCACCGGAGCAGGCCCCGGTTCCGGTTCACGCCACAGCGCCGGAGACGCCGTCTGATTCGGGAGAAGCTGCGGGAGGTGAGTGGTGCTCCCGGGCAGTCTGGAGCTGGGGCAGTCGCCGGCACCCTCGGTTCCTCCCCGGCGCTGTCCGGCCCTGATTGGCTGCTGCCTGGGACGGAGGGCTGCGTCTGAAACCCGGGTCTGGTGCTGTGTGCAGCAGGGGCTCCAGGGTCCGATCGCGAGCCGGAGGCAGCTCTTGGGCCGGGCTCTCTCTGGGCCCCGGGTGGCGATGGGCTCTGGAGCACATCTGTCCTTGCAGACGAGGGCGAGGCCTTGCCGGAGCCACCGGGCGCCCAGGACGGCGTGGAAGAGAGTGGGGAGGAGCCGGCCCGTGGCCTGGACGTGGGAGAATGTGAACGAAGGGCGCGAGAGATGCTAGGGGTGCGTCGCTGTGTGGATGTAGTTGTGCGAGGGCGTGGGGTGGCCTCTGCTTGCCCTAGGGCCCCGCAGGGTCCCTGCGCGTGGCCCCACCTGTGACACGGACAGCAGCCCGCTAGTGGGAGCACGCAACAGGCCAGCGTGGGTTTGACGGGCTCTTCTGCACGGGCTCGGGCTGCTGTGTCGCCCTGCTACCTTGCTCAACAGGCCCAGAGGGAATCTGGGGGACCAGAGTCCACCCCTGCCTGCCCATCCCTGAACTGGAGCAGAGTGGGCGTCGCGGATGTGCCTGGTGCCGGGACGGGGCCAGCCCGGGAGCCTTTTTGGTCAGCTTTCCAGTCTGCTGTGGGAAGCCGGGGGAGGCTGGATTTCAGAGCCAGCCCTGTGTCTGAATCTAGCGTTGCACCCTGGGCGGCCCCCGCACAGCCCAGTCTCCGTGTCCCATCTGTCGAGACGCTTGGCTGAGCCGGTGCTCGCGGACGCTGGGCACGGAGGCTGGTCGCCTGGGCGGCCACGTGATGGGTGCTCCTGCTCCCCGTGCAGACGTGGGGCGCCGGGGGCTCCCTGAAGGTCACCATCCTGCAAAGCAGCGACAGCAGGGCCTTCAGCACCACGCCCCTCCCACCCGGCCCGCGTCCCGGCGGTGACGCCTCCCGTGTGCCCGCGGCCGCCAGCCCGCCCTCTAAGCCGGGCCTCCAGTTCTTCTGCTACATCTGTAAAGCCAACTGCAGCAGCCAGCAGGTACCGCGAGCCCGGGCAGGGGGCGGGGTGGGGGGCGGGGGCCAGCTTGGGATCTGCCCCCCCACGGCTGCCTCAGTGGCCACCCTGGGCCTGGGAGCTGTGCACCTGCTCAGCTAGGCGGCACCCCACCGGCCGGGAAGGCAGGTCTTCCCGATTCACATCAATCCCACCCGGGACCGTGGGCCCTGGGGGGCGAATTCCGCCCTCTGCCTCAGCTTCCTCTGAGCCCCCGAAGCAGCAGCTAGAGCCCACCTCACTGGGTGGTCCCGGGGACTCGGTAATCACCACCGAAGGCCCAGCCCGGGCGTGCTGGAGTGAGTGTCAGTACCAGCAGGGGTGCGCGCGTGTCATTGCTGCTCCCGCTGCTGCGTTAGGTCTGTTCCCTAGCCTCACCCGAGCAGGGCCCTGGAGGCCTGGAAGTCCCCCCACGGCTCCTCCTCTGAGACGCCCACAGAAGTGGCTGGGGTGCCCTGGCGCCGGGCCTCGTTCCCCCGCCCTGCTCTGCCCCCACAGCGCTGTGTGAGGAGCGGCCTCCCGGCGGTGGGAGCAGCTGCACGCCTCCTCCCACTGCCGGCTCACACCGCGCCCTGTGCCTGGCTCCCCTCACGCAGGAGTTCCAGGACCACATGCTGGGGGCTCAGCACCAGCAGCGGCTCGGGGACATCCAGCACATGAGCCAAGCCTGCCTGCTGTCCCTGCTGCCTGTGCCCCGGGACGTCCTGGAGAGAGACGAGTGAGTCGGGGGGTGGGGCTGTGCTGGGGGCAGGCAGTCTCGGCTCTGCAAGGCCCGCTTCTTCACTCGGGCACTGTGACGGGGGCCTCAGTTTCCCCATCTGTACAAGGGCCCGGCGGCGAGCAGTGCAGGAATTCAGGCAGGAACAGGGTGGCCCAGCTGTACGAGGGAGGGGGCTGTGGCACTGAGCCCTCCTCCCCAGCCCCCAGTGGTGGGGACCAGGGCACCCGGGGCTAGAGATGAGAGCCACCCTGCATCGGCCCTTCGATTTAGTTATCCTTTTTAAAGATTTATTTGAAATGTAGAGTGACAGAGATGGATCTTCCATCCACTGGTTCACTCCCCAGATGGCCACAGTGGCCAAGGTGGGGCCAGGCCAAAGCCAGGAGCCTGGAGCTCCATCCAGGTCTCCCCGATGGGTGGCAGGGGCCCAAGCACTTGGGCCATCTTCTGCTGCCTTCTCGTGCAGTCGCCGGAAGCTGGATGGGAAGTGGAGCAGCCAGGACTCGAACTGGTGCCCTTCTTGTTGTCTTGGGGGCTTCACTCAGAAGCCCCGCCCTGCCCTGGAGCCCATGACCAGAAGGCCTGGCCAGGAAGCAGGAGGAGCTCCCAGGACCCTGTGGGCGGTCACAGGTCTGTGGGGGTGGGGAGGCTCGGAGGGCGCAGCCCTGTCTGACGGTGACAGCTGGCTCCGCCCCAGGTCCCCTGCCTTTTCAGCACGGACCAGAAATCCGGATCCATAGCAGAGCTTCCGGTTGTAAAGTGTTAGCAGCTACTTCTGAGCGGAAGCAAAGCAGAACCCCTGGGGGCCGAGTGGCGCCTCCGCGGGGGCTCCCGGCGTGGGGCTGGCCAGCCTCTGCTTGCATGCCTCCTGTGTCGGGGAGCTCTCCCCCTGCAGGACACGCCCCTGTCTCCGTGAGCGTGGGAGAAAGCAGTGAAGGGAGCAGTGGAGAGACCCCCCTGGGAGTGGTCTGACACTTCCCCAGCGCAGGCTTGGTTGGCTCGGCCGAGGCCTGTCCACTTGGAATAACACTGCAGCGTCAGCGTGAACCACATCCCGGAGACCGACCTTCCCCAGCCATTGCCAGAAACCATGGGTGGGACCAGCCAGGCCCAGGGGGCTCCAGGATCGGGGTCTGGCCTCCTGGAGCCCACAGCCCAGCAGAGGCAGAGGAGGGGTCTGGTCCTCCCAGCCGTTGTGTGAAATGCTACGGGAGTGGGGGGCCTTTGTGGCCCCCAAAGTGGGTCTGGCTTCCTGGGACCAGGACAGGTTCAGGAATGGGGGAGGGGCAAGAAAAGCTTGGAGAGGGAGAGGCGGCGTTTAAACTGAGGGGCAGGTCAGCTCTCACGGCCGAGTAGCCTCAGCCGTGTGCCCCCACCAGCGGCCCCAGGGCCACGCCACTGGCAGGCAGAGGCACCCGTCCGTGCCCAGCGTAGCACAGCGTCCGCAGCAGTGTCACATAACCCTGCGGCCCCCGCGCTGCTCGTTAGTTTCTGTAGAGCAGAAAGGAGCGGCGGTTCTGACCTGTGCAACTCCAGGGGACACACTGTGGCAAAGCCGCCCGCGGTCCCAGCCCCCCGGCGCCTGCAGCAGAAAGGTAGTGTCCGGGAAATGCTGGGTGAGCCCACCGTGGCCAGGGCCGAGGCCTTGTGACCGCCAGGCGGAGGGCCAGTGCTGCTCACGAGGCTCCCCATGGAAGATGAGGGAGGGCCCCCACAGAAAGGCCCCTGAAGCCAGCACCCCACTGCTGCCTCCTGGAGCCCGCACAGCGGGGCCCCGAGACCACCGAGACCTCACCTGGCTCGGCCATCTGGGCGGCCTCCGGCGTGCCCTGCACAGGCCTGGACCTGTTCGGCGGCCAGGTCTCCCCGACTCGCTGTCCTCATTTAGCACGCTGTTGGACTCAAAGGACTAAAACGCACACAGAGAAAGAGCACGGTGGGCGCTGGCCGGGGGCTGGGCTGCTGCTCAGGACGCCGCATGCCTGTCGGACAGCCTGGGTTTGCGTCCCGGCTCCACTTCCGATCCAGCTGCCTGCTCGTGGGCACCCTGGGGGGCAGCAGATGGCTCAAGGACTCAGGTCCCTGCCACCCTCAGGGGAGACCTGCACGGAGCTCCTGGCTCTTGGCTTCAGCCCGGCCCAGCCTGGCTGTTGCAGGCTCTTAGGGAAGGACCCAGCAGGTGGGAGATCCGTCTCTGCCTCTCAAATAAAGAAAAAAATTATAGATAGATAGATAGATAGATAGATAGATAGATAGATAGATAGATAGATTTCAATTCAAGCTCTACCAAAGCGCCTATTGGAAAGGACCCCACAGGAATGCTGCTGGGTGGTGCCGGCTCGGGCCAGACCTGTCGACAGCGCTACCAGACCGAGTGAGGACCGAGGGTCTCAGCCCCAATGCTGGGGACGCCCTGTGGCCGTCGTGCTGTTCTTTCTTTCCTGACTATAAAAGAACTCGTATTCTATCGGATTTTGAAAATATGGGGCCGGCGCTGTGGCATAGCGGGCTAAGCCACCACCTGTGATGCTGCCATCCCATGTGGGTGCCAGTTCGAGTCCCGGCTGCTCCACTTCCAATCCAGCTCCCTGCTAATGGCCTAGGAAAGCAGCAGAGGATGGCCCAAATACCTGGGCCCCTGCACCCATGTGGGAGACCCGGAGGAAGCTCCTGGCTCCTGGCTTCGGCCTGGCCCAGTCTCCGCCTTTGTGGCCATTTGGGGAGTGAACCAGTCAATGGGAGCACACACACTCTTTATCTCTCTCTCTAACTCCGCCTTTCAAGTAAATAAACAAATAAAAAGGAAAGGAAGGAAAATAGATAAGAACACGGAAAATGCATATGCAGTGAAAAGCCGCCCCCACCCCCGCCGGCCGGAGCACAGCTAAGACAGCGTGCCCCCCCCCCCCATCCCTGCGGCGCTCACTGTCTACAGAAGTAAAAGCCGCAGTCACTGCCGATGTTGGTGACGCTGCAGCGTCAGCACAGGGTCCCTACCGGGGTCCGTCCACGGACGCCAGGGGGTCTGCGTGCCCCACGAAGCGTACGTGAAATTGTACGTGTGCGTATTTTCTAGGAAGTCCTTACTCTCGTGGATTCAGAACACAGCCTTGTATAATTTTGGTTTTCTTTTCTTTTTTTCCCAAGGTTGATTTTTTTTTTTTTTTTTTTTTTGACAGGCAGAGTGGACAGTGAGAGAGAGAGACAGAGAGAAAGGTCTTCCTTTTGCCGTTGGTTCACCCTCCAATGGCCGCCGTGGCCGGCGCACCGCGCTGATCCGATGGCAGGAGCCAGGAGCCAGGTGCTTTTCCTGGTCTCCCATGGGGTGCAGGGCCCAACCACCTGGGCCATCCTCCACTGCACTCCCTGGCCACAGCAGAGAGCTGGCCTGGAAGAGGAGCAACCGGGACAGAATCCGGCGCCCCAACCGGGACTAGAACCCGGTGTGCCGGCGCCGCTAGGCAGAGGATTAGCCTAGTGAGCCACGGCGCCGGCCCGGTTGATTTGTTTTTGAAAGAGTTACAGAGAGAGGGAGAGACAAGAGATCTCAACCCTGCAAAGCCAGGGCTGGACCAGACTGGAGCCAGGAGCTCCATCCGGGTCTCCCACGTGGCTGCAGGGGCCCAAGCACTTGGGCTGTCTCCCGCTGCTCTCCCAGGCCATTAGCAGGGATCTAACGCCACGACACGGGCCCTCGTGGTTTTGGGTTTTTTGGCAAGCTGCCCCCATGGAGGACACGCTCTGGCTGCGATACGGCTAAGGCTTCGTCTTGACAGTCACAGGTTTTTCATTTTCCTTGGAAGTTTGGCTTGGAAGCTGTGCAGTCGGATGCATTGGTTTTGCCTGGCCTTGTTCTGTGCAGAGAGATCTGTCCCAGCCCAAGATTACATAGGGGTCCGCCCCCGCCCCAAGCATGTGGCTCGGACGGTGACACGTGTCTCCACGAGTCCAGTTAGAATTTATTTTGCAGGTAGGAGGTGAGAGCAAAAGGCTTTTCTTCCCGGAGTGGCTGGCAGGTGGCCCTGACGCCCCCTGTGCCACTCAGGCTGAGCCCTTACCCGAGCCGGGCTCCCGTTCCCCCCGCGGTCTTCACGCCGCAGCTTTGGTCTTGGTGCCGCCGCCTGGCGTCCCGCGGGCGTCTCACTCCCACCCCCACCCCAGAGTGCCCATGGGTGTCCTCGCTCGCGTTCATCAGATCACCCTCACGTCCATTCTGTTAGGGCTGCTGAAAAGACGCGGTTGGGATGGCGGTGCCGCCTGGTGCGTCTGGAGCCGGCTTTGCAGCCGCTCCGCCTCACCTTGCCCTCCCCTCGTCTCTCCTCTCAGGGAGCCTCCGCCCCGGCGCTGGTGCAACACCTGCCAGGTCTACTACGTGGGGGACCTGATCCAGCACCGCAGGACGCAGGACCACAAGGTAGGGGCCGCGGGGCGGAGGCCCGGGTCGACCGGGAGAAGTCGGCGGCAGTCCGTCTGCGCGACGTCTCGCTGTGGCCTCTGGGTGGACCAGTCACGTCCCTTTAGGCTCCAGGGTGCCCAGCTGCCCGCCGGGTGCTCATGGGGGGTCCTTAGGCTGCTGCCCCTCCTCCTGTCTTCTGTGTCTGCCCGGTCTCCACTGCCATCTGCACAGGGAAGTCCTGGGGCCGCACAGGGACGGGACGAGCTGTGTCTGCATGTTTTGGTGCAGGGCTACAGCATCGCCTGACTTTTGGTTTTGTTTTGTTGGTTTTTTTTGTTTGTTTTGTTTTGTATTTGAAAGAGTTACAAAGGTAGAGACAGAGAGGCCTTCCATCCGCTGGTTCACTCCCCAAATGGTCACAATGGCTGGAGCTGAGCCAATCAGGAGCCAGGAGCCCAGGCACATTAGCAGGGAGCTGGATGGGAAGTGGAGCAGCCGGGACTAGAACCGGCGCCCATGAGAGATGCCGACACTGCAGGCCAGGGCTTTAACCCGCTGTGCCACAGCGCTGGCCCCAGACTGCTGCTTAAATGAGCTGGGTGTGCAGGGGGAGGCGAGCTCCAGCTGGGCTCTGCTTGGCTCCGCCTTCCCGCCCACACGGCCTCCCTCCCTCCCCAGATCGCCAAGCAGTCCCTGCGCCCCTTCTGCACGGCTTGCAGCCGCTACTTCAGGACCCCCCGCAAGTTTGTGGAGCATGTCAAGTCCCAGGGCCACAAGGACAAGGCCAAGGAGGTAACCCCGCACCCTCAGAGGACATGGGCCCAGAGAGGTACAGAGCCCTGGCCAAGGCCACACAGCACGCTGGGCAGGAGCACAGCCTGCTCTCAGCAGGTCTGGAGGGACGGGACTCTGGCGCGTGGGGGCAGCGCACGGAGCCCTGGCTGCCTGCAGCTGACCTGAGCTCCTGGCTCCCTCCCCGGGCAGCTGAAGATGCTGGAGAAGGAGGTGGCTGGCCAGGACGAGGACCACTTCATCACAGTGGACGCCGTGGGCTGCTTTGAGGGGGACGAGGACGAGGAGGACGACGACGAGGACGACGAAGAGATTGAGGTCGAGGAGGAACTCTGCAAGCAGGTGCTTGGCGGGAGGGCGTGGGGGGCAGGCTGGCGGCTGGCCAGGCTGCCCGGCAGGGACCCCGCCCCACCTCCCAGGCACGCCCTATTCTGGGGGCTCTGTTACACGTGACCACGTAAACATGCGTCACGATGAAGCGCGCGGAGCCTGGCTGACCTCTGACCTGTGTGAGAGGGAGAGGGCATCCCGGGGAGGGGATGGGATCATTGAGGCACAGAGGTGGGGAGCTCCATGGTGCGCAGAGATGTCAGGACAAGGGGACGGGGTCGGGGACGGCTGCGGCAGCCGGCACTTGGAGCGCTCCCTGTCTGTGCGCCACCAGGTACCAGGCACTGTCCTAGCACAACCTCCTGAAAGTGGGCCCTCCCCGGCCAGAGTGAACTCTGGCTGGGGCCCGCCAGCTCCCCCCAAAGCCCTCTGGGCAAGAGAGCTGACACCCCCGGGCCCGTCCCTGCTCCATGGGGTGGGTGTAAGCCGTAGCAGGTGCGAGGACTCGGCACACACGACGTGCCGGGCACACTCGGCATGGTTTCTGGCCCAGCCGGGAACAGTAGGGCTTTCCAGAGGAGGGCGCTGGTGGGGCAGAGCCCAGAAAGTTCCATGGGCGAGGGCCTTCTGGGAGGCAGGGCCAGCGTGAGCACCTGCTCAGAGAAGGCCACCAGCCTTCTGGAGGTCACGGGGATGGCGGGTCCGGGGGCACGGGTGGGCTCCAGGGCCGTGACCCGAGTCTGCAGATCCAGGACCCCCACTGGCACGTTTCCAGGTGAGATCCAGAGACATCTCCATAGAGGAGTGGAAGGGCTCAGAGACCTACAACCCCAACACGGCCTACGGTAAGACCCCAGCCCTGAGCCCATCCGCGGGAGCTGCAGCCTTCGCCCAGCCTCCACGCGGCCCCCAGGTGGCCCTGTCCTCTTGTCATCGGCTCACACCCAGAGCAGGGGGACGGTCCAGCGGGGCTCCCGAGCAGGTGGGTGGCCTGGCCGGGACGAGGGAGGAGTGTGCAGACCCTGCCGTCCCACAGGCGTGGACTTCCTGGTGCCCGTGATGGGCTACGTGTGCCGCATCTGCCACAAGTTCTACCACAGCAACTCGGGGGCGCAGCTCTCCCACTGCAAATCCCTGGCCCACTTCGAGAACCTGCAGGTGAGCCCGACCTCCTGCCCGCTCTGTGCTCCGGACCGCTGGCTGCCTCCCCCAGGCACACGGGCCGGGCTCTATCCCTTACTCGCGGCATGCAGAGGGTCAGGCTGGTAACTCCTGAGCCCTGGCCCAGAGAGGCTGAGAGCATCCCACGGGGTCACACAGCACATCCATACTGTCCGAGTCGCGGCTGAGGAGGAGGGAGCTGCTGGCCAGGGGCACCAGTGGTTTAGCCCTCACCTGTACCTCCTGTGTCCAGAAATACAAGGCGGCCAAGAACCCCAGCCCCACCAGCCGGCCCGTGAGCCGCCGGTGTGCGATCAATGCTCGCAACGCCTTGACTGCTCTGTTCACCGCTGGCGGCCGCTCACCCATCCAGCCCAGCACGCAGGACACGGCCAAGACCGCCAGCAAGGTGACAGCTCAGCTCCCCAAACCGCCCCCTCGGCGCTCCACCCGCCTCAAATCTTGATAGAGGGCGCGCCCCGTGCCCGGGGGCCAGGTGGGCTAAGGCTGTCTGGGCTCTGCAGACTTTGACGTGGTTGGCGTTCTTACTTGACATCAATAAAGAAGGTAGTTTGGCTATGCGGTCCCCACCAACGCTTCTGTCTGGGTGGACAGGGCAGGGGGTGCCCCACCAGTGGCCAGCCTTTCTGGGCCCAGTGTGGTGGCAGAACCAGGAGGTAGGAACCAGGGACTCTCTCAGCCTCAGTTTCCCTCTTAATAATGCATCAGGCCAGGAGGCACCGTCAAGGAAGGACCTATTTAGTCTTCATGACGACCCCAGGAGACAGGCCTTGTTATCCCCGGGTGACAGGTCAAGACACAGGCCCGGCAGCGTCAGCTGACAGCCGCCAACTGGCTGGGATCCGGCCCTGGGCTGGGGTGCAGACCCCCCGCGCCAGCCTCTTCCCAGCTGCCCCCACGGGACTGACGTGCAGGGGCCTCGGGTTCTGAGTCCGCGGTTCCCGGCGGGGCCGCCTCGCTGGGCTCTCTTACGTTAAAGCACCCTGGGAACCGCTGGCCGGCAGGGGGAGCAGGCCCAAGGTGGGAGGGCAGTGCTGAGGCTGCCGCGGTGTGCAGAGGACGAGGGGGTCACACAGGGAAGCAGCTGCTGGCCAGGGACGCCCCAGGTAGGGAGGAGACCCCACCTCACCTGCACCTCACAGACAGCCAAGAACCCAGCCCCCTCCTCGCCCGTGAGCCCCACCCTGTCCCAGCTGGAGGCCCCTGGGGTCCTCAACCAGGACACAGAGGAGAGCAGCACAGTGGAGTCGGAGACCCTTTTAATGTGGACACTCAGGGCCCGGACAGGCAGGGAGGTGGGTGGTGGCAGGCCCCCACCTGGCCCCCGGAGGGCATGCGGGCAGTGGAGGGAGGCCCAGGCAGGCAGACTCACCAGGGGGCCCGAAGGCCAGCCCTTGACAGGGTGTCAGGCAGGTGACGCGTGCCCGGGCCGCAGCCCGGCCAGGGCCTAGGAGCCGGCCTCCCCCGGCGCCTCCCCGAGCCGCTGCTGGAACTCCAGGCGCACCTGCCGGTTGGACTCCAGCAGCTCGCGCAGGCGGGCGTGCAGGCGGTCGTTCTTCTCCTCCAGGTGGTCCAGCACGGAGTCGATCTGGTCCAGCATGGCGTTGATGGCAGCGTACTCTGGGGGGAGGGAAACGCGCAAGGGTCCTGTGTCTCCAGACGCCCCAGCCAGGCAGTGGGGCCGGGGTGGTCAGAGGGCGGGCCGCCGAGGCAGCCCTGCAGGTGCCAGTCCCCTCTGCACTTCTCCAGCAGCTGCCCGGAGGCCAGAGCCCACGCTGAGCCTGGCAGCCGGGGCCGCCCAGGCAGGTCCTGTCCTCCGGCCCCTCGGGACAGCGCGCCCAGGACCCCGCCGGGCTCTGCACCAGCTCCCCTCCCTGGCCCTGCCCTCCCCGCCTTTCCCCTCCTCTCACCCCTGCCCTCCCTCGGAACCTGCCGCTGCCTCTCCCCGGAGGGCACTGGCTCCTCCGGGGGGCGTCTCACTCGCCCCCGCGCCCCCGGCCCACCGGGCCCCTGTGCTGATCCCCTGGCCCCCTTCCCCCGGCCTGCCTGCTGTCGCTGTGTGCACGCTGGTGTGCGCCCCCACTGGACTATAAAGCTCGGATGTCTCGTACTCCTGGTGCCCTCACTCTCAGCCGCCTCCGCCTCTGGAACCCGCACCTCCACCACGGCCACCCGCGACCTGCCTCTCCCAGCAACACCGCGTCCCTCAGGACTCAAGGTCTGGGCCTGTGCCCACTGCGGGGCCCAGCTCTGAGCCAGCCTGTGACTCAGACACCCGCTGCCAGCTCGGGACCATAGGGGAAGCGGCTGGCACGGCAGGGAGTCGGCTCCGGGGGCGGATGTGCTGCGTCTGGGGAGCAGGCCCCCCTGCCCGAGAGAAGCCCAACGCCCTGCAAGTACGGGGAGGGAAACTGAGGCAGAGAACAGCGCCAGCCCAGGTCCTCTGGCTGCTTGGAGACGGAGCCAGAACTGAGACTGGGGCGTCAGGGCCTGTGGGTTTGAGTCCAGCTCTGCTCCAGGCCAGCGAAGTACCCCACTTTGGGGAGAGGGGGTGCTGCGGGGACCCAAGTCTGTGAAAACTTCCAAGTACCCATCAGGTGGCCGTCATGGTGGATGCGTCCCACTCTGTCCCGGGGACCAGCTGGGCAGAGGGGAGGAGGGGCGGGCTCTGCCTGCCACTCAGGGTCAGGCTTTGGCTGTGCCAAGCCTCTGTATCTGCCCGGGACACCTCCTCCCCGCCGGCCTAAGAATCTGCCAGCATCGGCTCTGGGAGGACCCCTCCCCCAGGCGCCGGGCCACCGATGCAAAGCCGGCCGCAGACCCCGAGTGGGGAAAATGTCTCCGACTGCTGGGGTGGATGCCCACGTCTGTGGCTATACCCAACAAGCGGGACGCCACACGGGCAAGCTGCACCGCGCGTGAGCCGCAGGCCCGGGCCGCCTGCCTGGGCCACGCCCTGCCCTCCGAGTGGGCCGCAGACCTGCATCACCCAGGACCCACCTGGTGCACCCTGCCCGCCGGCTCGTCTCTCAACCCTGACAGCTGCACGCAGTTAATCATGATTGCTGTCCTACCCACGGGGAGACTGAGGCTCGTCTCCGCACCCCAGCCCCCAGCCCCCAGCCCCGCCGTGCTGAGCCAGGCGCTGGGGAGCTGACTCAGCGCGGCGGGGCGCGCCCCCTCAAGCCCGACCCGCCCCTCGCCGGGGTCTCGGGCTCCCCACGGGCTGAAGGATGTGACTGAGGCAAATCCTAAACGGGCGAACGTCCCCAGAGCTGCCTCGGTTTCCCCCTGAAACGGGGCTGGCGTCCCATGGTTCACGGGTGCCGCGGCGCCCGGGGCCCCGCATCCCCGCGCCCAGCCAAGCCCCCACCCCGGCTGCGCCCGGGAGAAGCAAAGGTCGCTGCAGCCCCCCCCCCCAAGTCACCTGCTTCCCCGAAGCCGTCGTCCTCGCCTTCCGCACCCGCCTCCACCGGCACGCCCAGGTCCCCGTTGGGGCCCGACATCGCGGGCTCGGGCGCCACAAGGGCCACGGGAGGATGGAACGCCGCGACCGTAGCGTCCAAAGCCGGCGCGGGGCGGAAGGCGGAAGCGGTGGATGGAAGCCGGGGCCGGAAGCGCGGAACGCCGCGGCGGAGGGCCCCGCCCCGCAGCCGGAGCTCCGCCTTCGCCCCGCCCCGCAGCCCGCCTCCTGCCGGAGCCACGCCCTGCCTCACAGTAGCCCCGCCCCCTCCCCAGGCCTCTGGGCGGGGCCGTCGGGAGCTGCCCGCCCTGCCCCGGGAGCCGGTAGGGAGCCGGCCCGGCGGAGTCGCAGCAGCCTGGGAACCTCGCTCTGCGGGTCCTGTGGGCGAAACCAGGCCCGCAGCTTCCAACGCCACCTGTGGCTGTGGCAAATTCTTGTTGCCAGGTCACCAGGGTCTGTTTCGGTCCCAGCGGAGAGGCCCCACCTCCCCTCCCGCTACGCTGGTCCTGGGCCTCCCCGGTCTCGTGCGCGCCCCTCAGGGTCACTCCAGTAGGGTCAGCCCTTTTTACGGAGGGCGCCTGAACTGGAGCAGCAGCAGGGTGTTGGGGGGGGGGGTGAGGCTCCTCCTACCTCTGCCTCTCCAGCTCTCCCGGCACCACCAAGGAGTGCAAGTCTAAAGCAAAGTTGGCCGCTCCCCTCTGGGTGCTGTGTGGCAGGGGGCTACTAGGGCAGTCCATCAGGAAAAGCCTCAGATAAGGGGGTCCAGCGGCCAGCACCCCCCAGGTATGGGTCTGGGGAGGGAAGGCCAGCACCCCCCACCCTAGGAATGGGTCTGGGGAAGGAAGGCCCAGCCAGTCTCCCAGCCAACAGGCGTCCCTCCTGCCTTGGACCCAAGCGAACGTGACGTGCGTGGAGCTGGCACTTTGCCATCGTTTGCTCTAGTGGCTGTAGGAAGCTCACACCTCCGGTTACCTGGGAAGGAGGCACAAAGCTTTGTTTGTGCCCCTAAGAGTTTGATCCTAAAGGGCCCAGTAGTCCCAGGGGGCCATGGGAAGCTGCCTTGCTTGGACCAAGGTAAGAGAGATGGCATCTACTGCCCAAAGAACAGCCCAAGGGCCTGGCATGCCGGGTGCAGCTTCCACCCTTGGCCCAGTGAGTGGGGCTCTGGCAGTGGCCCTGGCTGCCCGTCTGTGGCCACTCGGCGCATGAGCGTGGCCCCATCCCTGCTCCGATCTTAGGCTGCACCGAACTCATCTCTTCCTGGAGTCTGTCCCAGGCTTGTGGAGGTTGGGCAGCCTCTGGTGGGCTCGCCCTCCCCTAGCCGAGGGTCAGTGGGGTCCTGTGTGAGTCTGGGGGGCTCCACCCACTCTGGCCTCTGACTTTGTAGGAGGGAAAGGGGTTCCAGCTCACGATGCCACATCCCATCAGGAGACAAGGTGCACCCCCCCACCGTGGTCTGGGAAGGAGGGATGAGGGATGGTGCCCCCCCCCACCGTGGTCTGGGTAGGAGGGATGGGGGGTGGCATCTGAATGTCCATCCGTGGGGAAGGGACAGCAGGCACTGGCCCAAAGACGCTGGCGGAGGGACAGGGCCCCCCTGCTCGCCCCCTGCCTGCAGTGGCCCCGGTCTGGGGAGGTCGCCGCCTCCTCCGGCCCTGGCTGTGTTTCCCCCACAGCCACAGGGCTCCCGACGAGGTGGAGCTGGCTGCAACTTCTGCCCGCTCTCAGCTCTGGCTGTGCCCCTGCCGTGGGACATGTTGCCAGTGGCCCCGTCAGGGCCACCAGAGGACTAGGCACCCTTCGTAGACGGGCGCAGGGGCAGGGCAGGCTGCCTCCACCCTGGGGACGAGCCCGGGGCTGGGGGCTGGGAGCGGGGAGCGCAGTGTTGTCCGCCTGGGAGGGACTCCGAGCAGTCAGAGGCAGTGTTGTCTGCTGTGGGAGGTGACGGCTGGAGTCCTGGAGCTGCTGTGTGGCCCTGACACCCAGACTGGGGACCATGGGCCCTGGGAGTGAGCTGGCCTGAGCCCCCACTTTGCCCTCCCTCGCCCCGTGGCCCTGAAGTCAAGCAGCACAGGCCAGTGCAGGGGCTAGGAGCATGTGTTTATTTAGGAGACGGATGAGCTCCGGCAGCAGGGCGGGGGAAGGGTCTCCGGCCTCTGTGTCTCTTTGTGCTGGGCTGGTGGGATGGGAGGTGGCACCCCGTGCAGACGCCAAGGCACCTGAGAGAGAGCCGGGGTGAACAGACAGCAGCGACAGTGCCGGCGGGGGACAAGGGGCAAAGGCAGGCCCGAGCCCCTCCAGCCCACCGCGCCCGGCCTCCCAGCGGCGCCCTGCCCAGCCATACTCACTGCTGGCTCAGTCATCAATGCACTGGTCTGGGGGCCGGGGGGGGGGGGAGAGAAAGTCGGTGAGAAGGGGGGGTGAGGGGCGTGCCAGATTCCCCAGGACCCCTGCACACCCCTGGGCCACCCCGGGCCCACTGGGGGTTCCCTTCAGGGATGCGGCCGCAGAGGGGCTGGGGGACACAGGACAGAGGCCTGCGGAAGGCTGCCCCCTGGTCCCCCCTTTTCCCTGGCAGGGCAGTTTCAGGCCCGGTCCGTCCCCACGTTCCCTCCCTCTCCCCAGCAGCCATTACCGATGGGGGTGGGGAAGACGATGCGGTCGTCGGGGAGGCCCAGAGATTTGGCGAAGCGGGTGAACCTCTCCCTCAGCTCGGGGCTCAGCTCCTTGGTTCTCCCTGTGGCCAAGGTGACCGGCAAGTGGCCGGCGGACACTCCATGAGCGTTGGTGAGCGAGCGAGGCCTCCGACCCCGTCCCCACCGGCCACCCTGCCTCCCCTCCCGGCGAGGGCGTGGGGTGGGGACCCACCGTAGAGGGTGGTCTTGAAGAATTGCTTGTTTCTGGAACCCTTCCTGAAGAACATCATGGCATACTGGCTGTAGTCGGTGGCCACCACGCGCACAATGTAGTTCTTCACCCCAGGGTAACCTGCAGGTGCAGACGCCGCGGTCAGCTCCGCGCTGGCTGGGAGGAAGGGGCTGTGGCCTTGCTCCCCAGCCCGGCAGCACCGGCTTCTCCGCCATGGGACAGTGCGGCCCCCGGGGACTCACTCTTGATGTTGCCCAGGTTATACTGGCCGGGCCGGGACGTGGGGACGAAAGTCCTGATCCAGTGGTCACAGCGCTGGTCCCTATGGGCGGAAGCGGTGGAGGGCGTGAGAGGAGGGTCCAGGCTTGGTCCTGCTGGGCTGGACAGGTGGGGCCAGGACTGCAGCAGGATTTGGGTGATCCCGGTCCAGCCCAACCGGGGACAGCCCCCCTCGCCAGCCAGCTCAGTCGGGCCTGAGGCTCCGCCCCTCCCCCCAGCCTATTCCCGGCTATTCCTGGTCTGTTTGCAGTCTTTCCTCCAGCAACCTTCCCTGCCCTGGGCTGTCTCCCTATGCAAGGCCGGCCCCATGCCCCTCCCCAGTGTTTGTCTCTCCTGGGTGAGTTATGTCCAAGGCCCCAAGCACTCCCTAGCTCTTGGGCCAAGCTTGGCCCCTCTGAGTCTGACCCCATGCCCTGTCCCCTGGGGCTCAGCTCCCCAGACCTGCTCTTCCCTGGGTCTCTTGCTCCACCAAACGCCCCAGCCCCGACCCACCCAGCAGTCAGAAGCACACTGCAGGCGTGGGCTGTCCCAGGCTCCACTCCCTGAGCCCTAGGGTGGCTGCACCGCTGATACCCCCACCGTGACTGCCCAGCCAGGCCCCCATCCCCCAAGCTGCACCCCACCACTGGTCCCCACTGCTACGGGCGGCCCTGCTCAGACCTGCTCCTCACACTTCCGGTGCTGGGCCCTGGGGACCCCGGTGGGTGGCTCGGCTCTGACCTGCTGTGCACAGCCCAGGCCTCCTGGGACAGGCTGGCTCCTTCAAGGCCACCTGCTGGAAGCCCTCAGTGGAGGCTGTGGGTGGGGCCTCAGGCTGGATCCAGTGTCCCACCTCCCACTCCAGGACACCCTGCTGCCTCCAGTGACCGTGTGTGTGTGTGCGTGTGTGTGTGTGTGCAGAAGTGACTGTGGACACGATCTGATGAGTCAGAGACAGAAGGCAGAAGCGGATGCGTTCAGGGCAGAGCTGCGAGTGCTATGGCTTCCCCCAGCCCTGAGGCGTCCGCCGCCTGCCCGTTCCAGCCACCCGAGGGGCGGCTCTCACCTGAGCAAGGTGGAGGTGACGTTGAAGCTGCGATCTTCGTTCAGCTCGTAGGTGGTGCTGTACATCGGCTCCTGGCCTTCTTCCCTCTTCTGGACGGCATTGCCCGCCAGGCCCACGACGTACCACTTGCCCTGGAACTGCGGGGGGCTGCTGGCAGATGGAGCCCACCAATGGCCCGGAGCCCCACCTCCCGCTCTGTCCCCGCTGGCCTCTCTGGACAGCCCAGCCTGGAACCTGGAGCTCCTCTTTTGTTTTAGTTTGTACATTGATGGTCATATGACTTTATTTATTTATTTATTTGACAGGCAGAGTGACATAGAGAGACAGAGGGAGACCTTCCACCTGCTGGTTCACTCCTCAGATGGCCACAATGGCCGGGGCTGGTCCATTCCAAAGCCAGGAGCCTGGAACTCAATCCAGGTCTCCTACATGGGAGGCAGGGGCCCAAGTACTTGAGCCATCATCTGCTGCCTTCCTAGGCATCATCCTATGCCTGCCTGCATAGGCAGGCGCTGGATCAGAAGTGGAGCATCTGGGATTTGAACCAGTGCTGCAATACGAGATGCCGCATTGCAAAGCAGCGGCTTAACTCTGCTTCACAACGTCGGCTCCCTGGAGCTGGGCCCTGGGCTGGGCCGGCAGTGATGAGGTCAGGGTCAGGGTCAGGGTCAGGGTCAGGGTCAGGAGCCCTGGGAGGAGCCCTGGGGGAGGAGGCCGTCCTGAGTCTGGGAAGGTCTGTCGAGGTGACCCTGAGGGTGGGGGTGGGGGGGATGGGGCATGGCCGCCATCGGGGGACCCCAGGGCAAGGCAGCCTGAAGCCCATGTCACCCACAGCTGCCTGTCCTCCCTGTAGCCGCCCCCCGGGCCTCTTACCTGTTCATCCTGGAAGTTCCGCTGCAGGGGAACCCTGCGCAGAGATGGGGCAGGGATCAGTTTTGGGGTGGGGTCCTGGGCCTGGATGTGCAGGGCCCCCAGCAGGGTGAGGCCCAGCCACAGGAGACCAAGAGGCATGGTGCCAGGACAGCTGCAGGGCCCGGTGTGTGGACGAGGAGGAGGCAGTGAGGGCGAGGCCAGCCTGTGCCCTATTTATGGGCCCACCTGGGCACCGGCCCCCCTAAGGTGGGGTGAGCCATCCTTTACCAAATCCAGGAAGGTGAGGCAATTGCCAGCAACCCAGGCTGAAATTCTTGGCAAGATTTCTGCTCCCGGATCCCCTGTGGGGATTGTGCAAGAAAGAGAGGGGGAGGCTCCGTGGGGGGCATTGGAGGGACAGTCCCAGGACTCTGGCGGGGACCAGGGCTCCCTCCGGGCACCATGCATGCCACTGCCCTTGGCCTGCTTGGCCCTGTCTATGGGCCAGTGGTCCCCGGTCCAGGTGAACTCTCATCTCCGGCCCCCAGGGCCCCCTGCTCAGCCCGAGCCGTGGGTACTGGGGTCTGCACGTGGTGAGGCCACCTCCCGGCACCTTCCCAGAGCCAAGCATGCAGCAGGCTGTGAGCTGCTTTCTGCTTCTTATAGAGGCCAAGGAAGTCCAGGCTCTGAGCCCAGATCCTGGCTCCAGGCCCCATTGGCAGGGGTGAAACCAGACATGCCTGCTTCCTGGGGGCTTGGCCTGTCCTGTGGGTTCCAGGCTGGGCAACAGACCACAGGTGTGCCAAGGCCTCCATCCCAGCTCACGGGGGAGGCCGGGTAGGGGCTGGTGTGGGTGGGCTCCACCCTGCCGCTCTGAACGCCAGCTGCTTTGGGTCACAGGAAGTACAAGGACTTAACCGTCGCTGAGACCATCTCCCTGTCTAGCTGCAGCCTTAGGCTGTGGAGCCCAGTGGCCCAAGCCTGGTGATCCCGAACTTTCTGAGACAGCTGATCCTAGCCTCATCCTGGAGGGAAGCCATTTCCTCCCTGGGGGCCTGGCCAGCCTGCTTGGGAGGCAGTGACGGCCCCCAGGTCCTGTGCAGTGTTCGCCAGAAATGGCTCACCCACGAGGGGCCACACGGTCCCCATGCCTGACCCGAGGCTGGACTGTGGGTCTGCTGGCCTCAGATGGGACTGGCACGGCACTCACTGGCTCTGCACACCTGCTGCTTGGGACCCCCAGCCTGGGATCGGGGACGGTGGGCCCTGAGCTGGTGGTTGGGGTCCCAGTCCTGCCCTTCCTGGGTGAAGGAAGGGCAGGGAGTGAAGCTAAGCAAAGCTGCAAGGGCGGGGTGGCCGATGTGGCCACCTGGGTGCCTGCCCCACCTCTGCTGCGGTGTTGGATGTGGGGCAGACTGGTCAATGCAGCCCGTGGAACAGAGGGTGAGGGGTGCAGGTCCATGGTCTGAACCCAGCAGAAGGGCGTGAGAACCCCAGAGCCCACTGCAGGTGATGGCCCAGCTGGGGCTCCTGGGCTGGCGAGCCCCTGCCCAGCCCCCACCGCCAGCAGAAAGCTACTCAGCTGACCGCGAGGCCTGGGTCAACCTAAGTAAGTAACGGAGAGGGCGTCTCCCAAAAGGACCGCAGTACCCGGGGCGCAGGTTGCAGAGGGAACAGGTGGCTGCAGTCAGCCATGTGTGTCCCCCTGGGACGGTGAGGCAAGGGGAAATTTTGAAAGGTGAAATATGGAGGACACATATGCTGTTTTGAAACAACAATCCTTGGCCACAGAACTAATAGCAGGGGCCGGCACCGTTGTGCAGTGGGGTAGAGCCCCTGGCCTACAGCGCCCGCATCCCATATGGGCATTGGTTTGAGTCCCAGCTGCTCCACTTCTGATCCAGCTCTCTGCTGTGGCCTGGGAAAGCAGCAGAAATGGCCCAAGTGCTTGGGCTCCTGCACCCTCCTGGGAGACCCGGAAGAGGCTCCAGGCTCCAGGCTCCTGACTTCGGCCTGATCCAGGCCTGGCTGTCGCAGAGATTTGAGGGGCAAGCCAGCAGATGGAAGATTTCTCTCTCTCTCTCTCTCCTCCTCTCTCTCTCTCTCTCTCTCTGTCACTTGCCTTTCAAATAAATAAAAAATAAATCTAAAAGATGCTTTATTTATTTGAAAGGCAGAGTGAGAGAGAGAAAGAGATCTTGCATCATTGGTTCACTCCCCAAATGGCTGGAATGGCTGGGGCTGGGCCAGGCCAAAACTTGGAGCCAGAAACTCCATCCTGATCTCCCACGTGGGTGCAGGGGCCCAAGGACCTGGGCCATCTTCAGCTGCTTTCCCAGGTACATTAGCAGGGAGCTGGATCGGAAGTGGAGCAGCTGAGACTAGAACCGGTGCCCGTATGGGATGGCAGTATGGCAGGGGGCGGCTTCACCTAGCACAGTGCCAGTTCCCCTCTCTCTGACATAAGGGTCCTGCATCTCTGTGCTGGCTCAGGCCCGTCTCAGACCCACTGGCCCAGTCCCTGTCTCTTTGTCCCCCCCTCTGTTGACACCCGGTGATGAGACGCTCATCTGGCTGTCTTCTGCCTTCTCTCCTGGGCCAGCCCTGGAGGCTGGGGTCGGGGAGAAGGTGTTGAGACCCCCTGTGCGATCCGAGCCTCCGATGTGCCGTATCCCAAGCCATATCCATGGGGGCCCAAGACAGTCACTGTCAAGGCTGGGGAAAAAGCCAGGCTCGGTTGGGGCTAATCTCAGCCCACGAGAGCCCGGCACTGGGCTGGCTGGGGCTGGAGGCAGAGGACTCACTGGGGCTGCCTGCAGCTTTCTGCCCCGGGCGGGGCAGGTCCCTGAGGACGGGCTGGGGATCGGGGAGGTGCAGCCCTCCCCGCCTCAGAGCTCAGCAGGGCCGTGGGGAGGGGTCAGCTCACCACCACCGCCCCTGCCCCTGCCTCCCACAGCCATGACCTATCACTGGGAGAGCTCAGACCTGGACTGGCTCCAAGGGCTCCAGGGTGGACAAGACCCCAAATCCCCTGTGTCTCCCCTACCACTTCCCACAGGGGCCTGTTTCCTGGGTCCGGATCCCTGGCTATGGAGGAGGGGACTCAAGGGTTCACATTGTCCAGGGCTGGGGCCGGTCCTGGGGTCCTGGGCTCCCAGGATGCTCTGCACAGTGCATGGCGTCAGGCGTGGCACGCTGGGCACCTGCCTGTCCCCCTTTGTCCCATGCTGGCTCCTGCAGAACTCCTTCCTGCAGCCTCCCACTCTGTCCCTGGGAGCTCAGGCCACCCTGGGAGCCCTCAACAAGCCACCGGCAGCTTTGGGGCCATGCCCCTCTGGGTCTCCTGAACCCCACTCTGGGTCTGCCTAGCGACAGCGCACGCTTAAGAAACGGCCCACGCCGGGGTTTGCTGTGGTCCGAGCAGGAGGACCCAGCCCTGTCCCTGGCAGGCAGCTCTCCCCAGGGGACATGCAGTGGCCTGGCCCTGACCCCCCCACCTGTGAAGCTGGTGAGATGTTCTCTGGAATCCAGTCTGACCGGACCCCCTGGTCTGGTTTCCAGAATTCTGAGCAGGGCTCAGCCTGCCTGAGCGCCGGGCCTAGCAGGGCCGCTGCTGACCAGGACAGCTCTTCGAAGAGTCCATGGAAAATGCCCCTGATAAAAAACTGTGGGCTTCAGACTTTTTTTTTTGCACCAAAATAAACTTATCTTTTAAAAACTTGTGTATTTTAAAGGCAGAGAGAGAGAGAGAGAGAGTGATCTGCCCTCCACTGGCTCACTTCCTGAATGCCCGCAACGACTGGGACTAGGCCGGGCCAAAGCCAGGGGCCAGGACCTCCAGCCAGGGCTCCCGCCTGGGTGGCTCGCATCCTGTGCTGCCTCCAAAGGTGGACGTTAGCAGGAAGCTGGAATCCGGAGCAGAGCCAGCGACTTGAACCCAGGCCCTCCCCTCTGGGCTGAGGGCCCCCAGTCGCCATCTTAGCCACTGTGCTGAACGCCCACACCGCACCAGCTCTTCTAATTCCATTTCCCCATGCGCTTCTTGAAGCACCCTTGTATTTGAAGGGCTGACCGGCAGGTACTGGGCTGGCTTCCCAGAGCCAGGAGCTGAGCTTGGAGGAGACTATGGGCAAGCCGGGCAAGGAGCCCCCAGCGGCCCAGCCCTGGTCCCCGTGAGGCCCACCTGCAGGGCCTCGGTGCAGGTCCTAGATCCTGACCCCACCTCCCATGGCCTCCCTTGTCTGCCTCTGAGCAGGCTGAGCCTAGGCTGCGGTGCCGCTCGCCCCTTAGGCTCCCTGATCCCAAGCCTCGTGAGGTCATTTAATGCACCTTAGCCAGCATCGTTTCCGGAACTGGGGGAACACCCCCACCTGGCCGACTGGAGTCCACTTTGCCATTATCAGGATTCCCCACGGAGCACGTCGCTGACCAAGCAGAGCCCAGGAGCACTGCGGGCCACCCAGGGCCCGGCCCAGAGCTGAACGCACGCCCCTCAGCCCCAACCTCTGTCTGTAAGACCCCTTACCCCAGCCCCTCGTATAGCCTGGGAATGTGTTGATTTATTTATTTGAAAAGCAGAATTAGAGAGAGAGAGAGAGAGAGAGAGCGAGAGAGAGAGAGCGAGCTTCCATTTGCTGGTTCACTCGCCAAAAAAACAATGGCTGCAACAGCCGGGGCCGGGATCTAGGAACTCCATCCAGGCCATGAGGATGGCAGCGGCCCAAATGCTTGGGCCATCTTCCACTGCTTTCCCAGGTGCCTTAGCAGGGAACTGGATTGGATGTGGCGCACACATTGGATGTGTGGCACCATGAACCCATGCCCATGCGGGTCGTGGCTTCACCCGTTGCACCACCACGCTGCCCAAGTCCGGGATTGAGCCATGGCCGCTCCTCGCTGTGCACCTCTGCTTTCACCACTCCGGGTCAGTGATTGGCTGGCTGCGGGGACCCAGGCTTTGGAGACTGCAACACCCGCAGGTCCGGGCTGGACTCGCCCCCAAGCCCCCAGGGGTCGCCTGGTTGACTCTTCTGTTTCCGGAAGCATCTTTCAACCCCCAGGTCCCATCTCTCAGCCAGGGCTCCCAGGGGACTGCCTGGCCCGGCCTGTGGGAAACTCTGGAAGGCTGCCCCCCCAACGACACCCATGGGATTCCTCCCTCTGTGGAGGCCTCGGGGTCTGGCCTGCAGGGGGGTCAGGCCCCCTGCTGAGATCCGAGCCCAGGACCACCTGCTGGTTCTGGCCCTCAGGTGCCTGGCCCAGGTACGGCCCTTCCATGGATGCTCCTGCCTTGTAATCTGGAGCCTGGACTCCCACGCAGGTGAGAGGGCGGACCATGGCCATGACTCTGAGCAGGCTGGGGTGGAAGCTGGCTCCTGGGCTTCTGTGTCACGGGGCCTCTGCCTGGCATGGCCCTGGCACCAGACAGGGCCTCTGCATCTCCCAGCTCTGCACCCATCCTGCCTCGGCTGCAGCCCTTGACCCCCCAGGAGGCTGGGAGAGGGGCGTGTCTACTCCTGGGTTGTCCCCTTGCCCCTGCTCCCCAGGCGGCTGGCTGGGCGTCTGCTGGCCGCCATGGGAGGTGGCTACTGTGGGAGGACGAGGCCGGCTGCCTCCTCTCTGTGCCCGGAGAGCCCGCCCCGGCCTCAGGCCTAAGGACATCTCAGGGGCGACCCTGGCAGGAAAGAAGGGTCACAGGCAGGTCTGGCGCCAAGCAGAGGGCCTTTTATATGGAGTAGGGGCTGAACTGGGCTGGGGAGGAGGGGGCGGGGGAGTGAGGGGCGGGAGGGAGCAGAGCAGAAGACGCTGGGAATAGGCAGCCACGGAGACATTGGCCTTGGCCTGGCCATTGCCCCGCTGTCGCCCATTCTACAGGGGCCAGGTCGGGGGAAGGGTGAGTCCCTGGGACCTTGGGGTGGGGGAGGTCGGCTCCCACCTGCTTCCCAGGGCTCTGAGCATGCCCCGGGGGTGGGGCCTCTGCTTTGGCGCCAAGGCAGGTGCAGGGCTGGCAGCACCTTTTGCAATCTGGACAGGCCGAGAGTTTCCTAAATCATCAGATTTTCACAACAAATTACCACACTTGTTGGTTTAAAACAATACCTTGTGAAGGCCGGATGTCTGAAATCGGAAACTCGCTGGGCCCACACCAGGGTGCGGCCAGCGCCTCAGCCCCTCTGCCAGCTCCCTGGGCACCCTCGCTCACCCGCCAGGCTCCCCTCTGTGCCTCCAGCTCCCCCTACCGCCTCTTAGCAGGACGCGTGCGTGGGGCGCGGCCAGGGCCCAGCTGGCTAATCCGGGCCGTCTCCCCATCTCCCGATGCGGGGTGCAGGAAGGAGAGCAGCAGACGGGGGAGGAAAAAGGGGTTCCAGCCAAGATCTGCCTCCGGCTGAAAACACAACACGGGCGCCTGCGGAACAGGCTTGGAGGAGCCGCGAGAGCGGCCCCTGTGCCTGCCGCCCGTGGGTCAGCGCTGCGGGCGCTGCTTCGGAGAGGCTTCCGCACCTGTCAGTCTTCGCGTCGGGCTCAGGCTGGGGGCGGGACTTTAGTTCCGCGGTGGAGAGCCCCTGTCCCATCGCCCAGCCTGGGTCTGATTCCCAGCTCCGGCTCCTGACCCCAGCTTCCTGCCGGCGTGGACCCGGAGGCAGCCGTGACGGCGCGCGTGCTTGGGTTCCTGCCACCCACGCAGGGGGCCCTGAGTGGGTTCCCAGCGCCTGGCTTTGGCCCGGCCTAACCCCTGTTGTGGGCACGTGGGGCAGTGCGCCAGCAGGTGGCAGCTCCTCCTCTCTGCCTCTCAAACGGATAAAAACTAAAACAAACCAAAGCTGACCGCACAAAACTTTAACAGGAGGCTTTTAATAAAAGGGAAAGAAAATAGGAATATAAAAGCTAAAATCTGAGCCTTGGAGAAGACAAATAATACAGATAAGAAACGCGAGGGGCAGGCATTGTAGCAGTGGTTAAACCCCTACTGGAGGGGCTGTGTCCTCTATTACAAGGCCAGTTTGAGCCCCACCTGCCCTGCCCTTCTGCTCCCGCCTCCCCCAGGAGAACTAGCGCCTGGAAAAGCAGCAGGTGATGGCCCGGGTGCTCCTGCTCCTGCCTGGCTGGCGCAGGTGTTTTGAGAGTGAGTCGTGCACGGAAGATTCTCGGTGTGTGTGTGTCTCTCCCTCTCTCTCTTTCAAGTAAATAAATCAATCTTAAAAAAAAAAAAAAAAGGCAGAAAATGTTCTCAAGACAAAAAGATACAAGGCCCCAAAAAGCAATACCAGGAACAAAAAGGAACTTAACACCGGATTCTGTGGGCATGCAAATGAGGAGATGAGGCTGCCAGCAAGGCCTGGGGAATCCCCCAGCAAATCCGAGCCCCAGGGTGGACTGGGGGGGGGGGGCTGCGTCCTGTTCTAACCACTGGCAGGGGTGACTCAGCCGCAGCTCCTCTGCCGTGGAGAGAACGCCGGCAGTGCGACGCGTCTTCACGGATCCAGTGTGTGTTCCGGGTCCGTCTTGGATTCGCAGGACTGTGACGTTGGTAGAGTTCCCCCATAGCCCGCACCTGGCTCCCGCGACGAACGTCGTTACAAACCAGCACGGACCGGTCTCGAGTGCCCGCAGCCCACACCGCTCCCATTTCCTGAGCTTTGCCCCCTCTCCGCCCCAGGGTCCCCCCACCCCACGTACGCCACGTCCCGCTGTCATCCACACGGTGGCTTCCCACGCTCCCCTTGGCTTTGACGACTTCGACAGTGGGGGGGGGCTTTTCTGCACTTTTTTCCTAGTGTGTTACGGGTTTGAGGCAGGAAGACGCACCCCCTGCATCCAGCTGCAGAAGGCATGGCTTCCCCTGCTGGTGCTGGCCTGGACCCCCTGGCCAGCACAGCTCCCAGTCTCCACCTGGACGTGGGGCATTTGGCTCCACCTCCGGGGAGCTGTTTGGACTGGCTATTTGCCACCTTACACTGTAATCCAACTTCCGGGAGCTCCCAACATCCCAGCGCCACGGTGGTTTTTGATGAATTTGGCCCCGTTTCAACTTAAATGCCCACGCAGCCACTCCCACAATCAAGGCAGAGAACATATCCAAAAGATCCCTCCCGTTCCTCAGCACCCCCGGGCGCCTGCGGCCCTGCTTTCCGACGACCGATCAGCTCGCATTGCCAGCATACATGGAAACAGACCCCCCACGCGGTGCCCAGGGCGTCTGGTGGGTGCCCTTGACCATGGCCGGTACGGAACTCTGCAGCCAGGGGCACTTCCAGGACACGGGATCAAAAGATGAGTTTCTTTAGTGCAAAAATGTTTGAAGTTATGCATCATTTTTTCATATTACAATTTGCTATGAATTTTTTGAGAGGCAGGAAGAGACAGAGAGAGGGAGCTGCCGTCCACTGGTTCACTCCCCCAAATTCCAGCCCAGGGCTCCAAGCTGGCTCCTCAGTGCTTTGCCCAGCGCTGGCCACAGAAGGGAGGTCAGTGGCTGGAAACCGTTAAGGAGGCCGTGCAGGGACCAGGGCAGCACGAACGCCACACACCACACACCAAGCCCTAGCCAGAACTGAGGGAGGACGTGGCCAGGTATTTCGGCGGCGGGGCTGGTCATCGGACTCCTTCCCAGATGCCGCAAAGCTGGGGTGGGGCCAGGCTGCAGGTCCCAGCCTCCCTGGCCGCCGGCCTCTCCCATTCGTGTTCTCATCTGACGCTCAACCAGCTAAATGCAGCAGAAACCAGGCATTCCATGTCACAGACAAGGACACGGGGGTTCTGGAAGGTTCTTGGAGCTCACAGCTGACGATTCGCCTGCCCTGCCCGCAGTGCTGTGCACGCGTGAGCTGGTCGCTCTGGGCAAGCGGCCACACCGGCAAAAGTAGCCGCGCAGGCAGTCACTCGGCCACCGGCCAGCCCCTGGCCACCCGCGTCCCAAGGGGCCTCGATCTACCTAGGGGCTGACACACGTCACAGGAGGAAACCCCAAAGGGCGAACGTCCCCGGAGCTGCCTCAGTTTCCCCATCTGTTAACGGGGCCGGCTACCACAGTTCACGAATGCGGCGGTGTCGGGGTCCAGGGTGCTCGCCCTGCATCTCCGAGCCGGGGCGCAGCCACAGGAGGGCTCCCCGACTCCTTCCAAGCCCCTACCCCGGCTCCGGGAAAAGCCAAAGTCGCTGCAGCAGTTCCCCCCGGGTCAGCTGCTTCCGTCCTCGCCTTCCGCACGCACCTCCCCGGGGACGTCCAGGCCCCGGCTGGGCCCCGACACTGCGGGCTCGCGCGCGGCGGCGGCCAGGCCGAAGGCTAGCGCGGTGGACCGAGTTCACGGCGAGCGGAGCCAGCTGGAGCCCCGAGCCCCGCCCCCTCCTGTGACCACGCCCCAGCCCCGCCTCAAGTCTCCTCCCACTCTGGGAGCCCCGCCCCCGGCCGCTGGGCGGGGGCCTCCCGGGGCTGCCCGCGGAGAAGCCTGAGCTACAGAGGCTCGGGCGCGCGGCTCGGGCGGGCGAGTCTGACAGAGAGCGAGGCAGCTTGGGACCCCTACTCTACCCCACCCTGCCCCTGGGGGCCTGAGTGTGGACGAACCGATCATTCCGAACGGGCGAAGTCTGAGACACCTGGTTTGCAAGGCCCCCTTGGGGGCTTGGGAAAATTTTGTGGTTCGAGTCACAGTACGAAGCGTAAAGCAGTGCGGGAGGGCAGCCGGCAAGGTCGCGCCCAGCGGCGGCTCTATCTTGGACACTCAGCAGGCTTCAGTTTCTTTCGAGTGGGCGCATGCAGCAAAAATGCGCAACTACGCTTGACAGACGTCCACTTCGCACTCTGCTAGGCGAAGTGGCAGAGCGGGGCCAGCGTTCGGGAATACCCAGCGCTAAGCCAGGCCCCCGCCTAGAACCACACCGTTAGCCTTCTGCAGACATTCCCCCGGGAGCTTCCGCGGCTCCGATGGGTGTTTGAAACCCGGGCGCCGAAGCTCTTCCAGCCCCGAGGGGCCTGCTGGTCCCTACTCGGCGTCACCGTCACCCCGGCAACCTCCGCGGCTCCCGAGACGGCCCCTTTAAGGACGCCTGAGCGCCAGCCTCCTTGGTTTCTCGCGCCCGCCCGAGCCGCCGGCGGAGCGAACATGGCCCTGGCGGCGCGCGCGGCCCGGGCGCTGTGGCCCTGCCGGGGCCCCCCGGCCTGGCGGCTGAATGGCCGCCCGTGGCCACCGCTCCTCGCGGAGGGCCGGGCCGGCTTCGCGGGGGCTTCAGGGCCAGCTGCCGCCGCTCGCAAGAGGAGCTCGCGGCTGCTGGGGGCAGCGGCGCTGGCCCTGGGGGGCGCCCTGGGGCTGTACCACACGGTGCGGTGGCGACTGCGCGCCGGGGACCTCCGCGCCGAGAGCTCGGCCGCGCAGGTGAGGCCGGACGGTGGGTGGGGGGCGCTGCGGCGCGCGCGCGGAGCTCGGGGCTCCCGGGGGCCGCCGCCCCCGCCGCCTGCCCGCGGGTGACCTTGGGTGATGCCCGTGACCCGGCTGCGTGGAGGACCACGTGTCCCAGGCCAGCCTCTGCCCCCGTCCGCAGCCCTGGCTGTCACTCCCGGGGCGGGGCCCAGACAGCCCTCCCCTTGGAGGTTGGAGGGAGACCCCACTCTGGCCAGTGCTGGCCTAGGGGCTCTGCCCCCTCTCCCAGAGGTCCCTGGAGTTGGGGGCGGGGCGGCGGCCCCCTGGGCTGTCAGGACCAGAGACAGAGGAGCAGCGCCCACCCAGCGTGGGACAGAGACCTGCAAAGGCCGCGTTTCCCGCCGTGCGCCGGGCACTGGCTGGGCTGTGCGCGCCCGGAGCCCCCTCCCCAGCCCGCCCGCCCGCACTCTTCCCGCGATCCCCAGGGTCCTCTCACCTGCAGGGTGGGGTGGGGAGGGGGGCCTGGGAGCACAGGCCTCAGCAGCCCCTCCCCCCCCCCAGCTCTCCCTGTCCGGCCGGCTGCAGCTCACCCTGTACCAGTACAAGACCTGTCCCTTCTGCAGCAAAGTCCGGGCCTTCCTGGACTTCCACGCGCTGCCCTACCAGGTGGTCGAGGTGAACCCGGTGCGCAGGGCAGAGATCAAGTTCTCCTCCTACAGGAAGGTGCCCATCCTGGTGGTGCAGGAGGGCGAGAGCTCGGTGAGCCTCGGGGACCCCCGCCCCTACATCCTTGGCCCCGCCTCCCCACCCCCACCCTGCTCCCTGAGTCAGGCCCTGCTCTGTAGCGCTGCAGGCACCCTGTGATCCCTCTCTGGTATACAGGAGGCGCTCAATAAGTGTAGACTCCCTGCCTTCTCGGCCATTACCGAACACCCCAGAGCATAATGTGGGTTCTCAATGAGGGGGCTCGGGTTGGAGGGTGACGTGGGGCTCTGGGCTGGCTTAGCCGTGGGCAGGGAGCAGGCACTGCAGACGGGAAGCGCCCGGCTTGGGACTTGGCACCTGGCGTGTGGCTTCTGGAGCCCGCCCTGCCCCTCTGCACGAACCCAGCGGGGGACCGCCCCCCGCCTGCCCCCGCATTAGCACCCTGGGCGGCCCTGCTCCGGACAGGAGCGCTCAGTGGGCTAGGATCGGGGCAGCATCGTTGGGGGCCCCAGCTACCCCCGCCGTCCCCTCTGAGCCCGGCCTCTTCTCCCAGCAACAGCTCAACGACTCCTCTGTGATCATCAGCGCCCTCCAGACCTACCTGGTGTCGGGGTAAGGGCCCCTGCCCCGTGCCCGCGGGGTGGGGGTGGGCACCGCGTCTCCCCCGGCCCCCCGCTGCCCGGCTGGGGTGACGCGGGCTCTGTCCCCAAGGCAGCCGCTCCAGGAGATCGTCACCTACTACCCGCCCATGAAAGCGCTGAACGCACAGGGCAGGGAGGTGACCGAGTTCTGCAACAAGTACTGGCTCATGCTGGACGAGGAGGAAGCCCGGCGCGTGTACGGGGCCAAGGAGGCCAGGACGTGAGTGGGCCGGCGGGCGGGGCCTCCCAGGCGCGTGGGCAGCAGGGCCCCGCCCCAGCCCACGCTGTCCCCGCCCGCCGCCCGCAGGGAGGAGATGAAGTGGCGGCAGTGGGCGGACGACTGGCTGGTGCACCTCATCTCCCCCAACGTGTACCGCACGCCCGCCGAGGCCCTGGCCTCCTTCGACTACATCGTCCGCGAGGGCAAGTTCGGGGCCGTGGAGGGCGCCATGGCCAAGTACGTGGGAGCAGCCGCCATGTACCTCATCAGCAAGCGACTCAAGAGCAGGTGGTGCCCGCGCGTGCGGGGGGGGGGGGGCCCCCCCACCCCCCCGCTGACGCCCCCCCCCCCCCCCGCAGGCACCACCTGCAGGACGACGTGCGCGAGGACCTCTACGCCTGCCGCCGACAAGTGGGTGGCAGCCGTGGGCAGGGAGCGGCCCTTCATGGGGGGCCAGAAGCCAAACCTCGCCGACCTGGTGAGCGCGGTGGGGTCCTGCCGTGGGAGGTTTGGGAGGGGCAGATGCCCCAGTCGTCCCCCCGCCGCCCCCGCTTGCCGGCGGGAGCAGCTTAAGGCGGCAGCTCTGTCTTGGTCCGCGCGCGCGGTTCGGGGCAAGGCTGGCTGCAGGCCAGTGGTGGGCGCAGGCTCTCCCGGGGTCTTCCTCTCGGGCAGGCCTGGGTCTGGCGCACCACGTGTCCAGCCGGCGGGAGGCCTGGATGGACGGCCTTGGGGTCTCCTCCCTAAATCGCAGGACCTGCTGGGGGTGTGAAGGCGGGCTGCGGCCCCCGTGGGGGCACCCCTGCAGACTCCGCCCCCAGGTCCTGGGCGCACTCCCGACCCCAGCTTCCTGCTGGTGCACCCTGGGGGGGCGGTGGGACCACCTCCCCGGCTCCTGCAGCCATGTGGGGGTGGGAACTCTCTCTGCTCCTCAAATATTTAAAAAGGAAGGAAGAGAGGCGGAGTGGGTGCAAGGCGCCCCCTGGCGACAGTGGCTGAGAGCTGCAGGGGCGGGGCAGGGCGGTCAGGTGACAGCCTTGCCGCCCCTCCCCCCTCCCCTCCCCCGCAGGCGGTGTACGGCGTGCTGCGGGTGATGGAGGGGTTGGAGGCCTTCGAGGACCTCATGCGGCACACACGCATCGGGCCCTGGTACCTGCGGGTGGAGCGGGCCATCGCCGACGCCCCCCACGCGTGCTGACCCGGGGGCCCGGGGATGCCGCCGCAGCCCTCTCTCGGACACGGAATGGTTCTCGGGGGGCCCGGGCTGCGAGGGGCACGGCCCCGGCTCGGTTTCCGTTCCCACCCCCCCCCCCTCCAGTCTCAGGGGTCCTGACTCCCCCACCCGGGCCTCTCCTGGGCACTCAGCGGCTGCACCCCCTGGTGGGGACCGGACCAGGGGCGGGGTGCACCGAGGGGCTGGCCAGGCGCCCGGGCCCCTGCCGTCTGCAATAAAGACACGGTTTGCTTGCTGCCCTGCCTGTGGCGCTGCGTGGGGCCAGGGGAGGGGAGGCCGCTGTGTCTGGGACCCGGACAGGCTGGCCGGGTCGCCCCGCGCGGGGCCGTGGGACTCCGGGCTCGGACGCCCCTCTCGCAGCCCGTGTCCTCGTTTGTCACGTGGGCGCCTCGCAGAGCTGAAGGGTCCAGCAGCGGGTGCGCCGCAGGGTGCCAGGGCGGGGCCACTCAGGACCGAGCCCGCCGTGTCCTGGCCCCTGTGGCAGTGGGTGGCTGCCTGGGCGTCACCCCGGCTGGGGTCCTAGGAGGAGCGCCCCCCATGGTTTGTCCTGCGACCCGGCCCAGCTGCTCACTTGCCCGGGCCTGCCCCTTCCCTTCTGCCCAGCTCCCTGCTCCGAGGCCCCCGCCCCCAGCCAGGCGCCCCCAGCGGGGCTGCAGGCCCGGAGAAGCCAGGCAGCCGCCGCATCGCTCGCTGGCCTCAGCAGGCACGGAGCCCACTCCTGGGGCCAGCGGGGGTCAGGGACCCCAGAGCCGCTGCTGTGGCCGCGGTGCCTGGAGTGTCCAGGGGCCTTTGCTCCCAGGACCCAGGCTGGCTGTGGACCCCAGAGACAGGCCTCCCCTGTGCCCACCTCCCCGTCTCTGCCTCCCCCTCCCCCTCCCCCGCCTCCCCCTGCCCTACCTCCCCCGCCCCACCTCCCCCATCCCTGCTTCCCCCTCCCCTACCTCCCTCCCCCCTCCCCCTCCCCTACCTCCCCCATCCCCACCTCCCCCCATCCCTGCTTCCCCCTCCCCTACCTCCCCTACCTCCCCTGTCCCTGCCTCCCCCTGCTCACCTCCCCCTCCCACCCCTCACTTTCCCTCCGCTTCCCAGACAGGCTTTCCCTGCCCCTGGCACCTGTGTGGGCCGTGCCTCAGTTTCCTCCCCTGTCTCCGTCCCGGTTCCCGAGAAGCCAGCTCTGACGTGCCCGGCTTGTTCTGGCCATGACCCTGAGGCAAGAGGAGGAACCTGCACCCCAGCCCCACCCCGTGCCCCCGCCCCCTGCTCTCTCCCGGGAGGCCCAGGTGCCGGCTGGGCCTCAGCTTCCTGGTGTCCACCCTCCTCGGCTTCACAGACTGCGGTCACGGCCAGCAGGGGCCAAACACCCAGCCGGGACTCTCCCCGCACTGTTGTGGGCGTCCTGTCCACTGCTGACCCCGTAAATCCAAGGACTGCGCTGGCTGGACCTCTTCCTTCTGAGCCTGGGCCAGAGAATGAATGTAGGGCGCCACCTGGGCCCCATTTCTTCCCGCCCAAAACAGGAGACACCTGCCTTAGTTTCCCCAAGTGTTTCTGAGTCAGGCCACTAGTTCCCCCACAACCACCAGAGGGCGCCAGAGACCGCGAAGCCTTGTAGGTGACGTCAACAGCCTGGTGCTGCCACCTTGTGACCAGTTCTCAGATTGACTGCAGTCTTTGTTAGGGGACCCTATTTGCCCATGTGTAGGGTGGGTTTGGGGTGTAAGGGGCAGAGGAGAGGCACGAAAACATGCCGCTCGAGGGAGAGCCAGGAGACCCCGCCTCCGTCACACTCTGGTCGGCGCATGCGCCCCATGGTCTTGGCGGCAGAGGCCTGAGTTCAGGACCCTGCCACTGCCCACAGGGCACACAGCGTAGGTGAGCTCAGGGACCGGAGAGTGTTTTGCACGGTGGTGCATGGTCCCTGTGTGTAGGGTCTGCCTTCTGTTCCCAGAACACTGGCCCGGGGCCAGCGCTGTGGCGTAGCAGGTAAAGCCGCTGCCTGCAGTGCCGGCATCCCACATGAGTGCCAGTTCGAGTCCCGACTGCTCCACTTGTGATCCAGCTCTCTGCTGTGGTCTGGGGAAGCAGTGGAGGATGGCCCAAGTGTTTGGGCCCCTGCACCTGCATGGGGGACCTGGAGGAAGCACCTGGCTCCTGGCTTTGGATCAGCCCAGCTCCAGCTGTTGCGGCCATCTGGAGAGTGAACCAGCAGAAGGAAGACCTCTCTCTCTCTCTCTCTCTCTCTCTCTCTCTCTCTCTGCCTCTCAAATTAATAAATAAATCTTTTACAAAAAGAAAGGAAGCTCAGAGGTTCTAAAAAAAAAAAAAAAAAAAAAGGCCCCACCGTGCCAGTGCGCTCAGGTCTGGGGGGGCGGGAATTCCAGGAAGCAGAGGGGAGGGGAAAGGGAATCCTGAGGTGAGGGCCAGGCCCTCCTCCCTGGGAAGGGGGGACTCGAACCAGCGCCCACATGGGATGGCGGCACTGCAGGCGGCAGCTTAGCCTACTACGCCATAGTGCCGGCCCCAAATTAATTTTTTTTAAATTTTTTGATTATGTAAATAATAAATACTTGTCTATAAATAAAAATTGTAGATAAAACACTGATACAGGGGCTGGTGTCGTGACAGCGGGTTAGGCCTGCACCAGTTCAAGTCCCAGCCACTCCACTTCCAGCTCCCTGCTAATGCTCCTGGGAAGGCAGTGGGAAACAGAACAAGCCCCTGGGCCCCTGCCCCCACGTGGGAGACCAGATGCAGCTCCAGGCTCCCGGCTTCAGCCTGGCCCTGCCCTGGCCACTGCAGCCATCTGGGGAGTGAACCAGCAGGTGGTTCACTCTGTGTCCTCTTCTCTCTGTAACTCTGCCTTTCAAATGAAATCAATCTTATTTAAAAAGCGAAGCTGAAGGCAGCACCACGGTTCACTAGGCTAATCCTCCACCTGTGACGCCGGCACACCGGGTTCTAGTCCTGGTTGGGGTGCCAGTTCTGTCCTGGTTGCCCCTCTTCCAGGCCAGCTCTCTGCTGTGGCCCAGGAGTGCAGTGGAGGATGGCCCAAGTGCTTGGGCCCTGCACCCCATGGGAGACCAAGAGAAGCACCTGGCTCCTGCCTTCAAATCAGCGCGGTGCGCCGGCTGCGGCGGCCATTGGAGGGTGAACCAACGGCAAAGGAAGACCTTTCTGTCTGTCTCTCTCTCTCACTGTCCACTCTGCCTGTCAAAAAAAAAAAAAAAAAAAAAGCAAGCGAAGCTGGTATCAATTATGTTGTTACCACCGGGTCCTCGATGTAGCGTGTACATGTGCACACGCGTGTACACAGTATGTAACATAAAAATTCCCCCCAGCACAGTGCGGCCTGTTCTGTGGCAGCCCTGTTTCGAGCACTTGACATTGAGTCCTCCCAGCCCCCGTGAGGCAGGTGCGAAAGCTGCCGTTTGGCAGACGAGGAAACGGGCACAGGGAGGTAAGGTGACTCGTCTGCCGTGGAGGACGCAGGATTTGAAGCCGGAGCCCTGGGTCAGGGTCCGTGGGCTTCACCACAGGGTCATTCGGCTCTTCTTTCTAGATGTTTTTCTATTTTAAAACTAAAAATTCGGGGTCTGGGGCTGTGGTGTAGCTGGTAGGGCCACCGCCTACAGTACTAGTGCCCCATATGGGTGTCTGTTCGAGCCCCGGCTGCTCCACTTCCGATCCAGCTCCCTGCTAATGCACCTGGGAAGGCAGTGGAGGGCGGCCCAAGTGCTCGGTGCAGGGGAGACCCAGATGCAGCTCCAGGCTCCTGGCCTCGGTCTGGCCCAGCCCTGGCCCCTTGTGGCCATCTGGGGAGTGGACCAGTGGATGGAAGATCTGTCTCTCCCTCTCTGTGACTTTTTCAAATAATCAAATCTTTAAAAATTCCAACCCTAGTGGGGCTGCCTGGCCGAGAACATTTCCAGGCCATTGCATTCCTGATAATCGCAGCTTCCACGGGACACTGCGTCCCACGTTATGGCCGCTCCCTAATCTGCTTTAACCACGTGAGGTGGGGAGGGTTTGATGGGCAGAGCATGTGCTGGGGAACAGTGTACGTGGTGGGGGAACAGAGCGGTGGCCCCGATACACCCAGGCCCGAGGCCCTGGGGCGCATGACTGTCACCCCGGGTGGCAGCGTTGTTCACAGGAAGGTGGTCTGGGTGGACCCTCGGTGCACCTGCAGGTGTGCCTCCCCGAGGGTGGGGAGGAAGAGGCGCTGTGACAGCCAGCGCAGGGTCTGGGGACGCGGCCGCCCGAGGATGGGTGACCCAGGGGCTGGACGCAACCCTTCCAACACTGCCGCCGCGGGTTCAGCCCGGCGAGCCGGCCGTGTGCGTGTGGCCTGCGGGAGACTCACCTTGTGTTGTTTTCAGCCGCGGGGTTTGTGGTCAGTGGTGGCACAGCCTCAGACCAGAGGCAAAGGAGGGAGCTCGGTGTGGTCGGGGAGGAGCGGGGGCTCGGGCCACGGAGGAGCGGGGGCTCGGGCCACGGTGCAGAGGTGGGGGGGCCAGGTGCGGCTACTGCAGTGGCGCCAGCTCCCCGCCGTGGGGCAGACGGTGCCCTCCTGTCTCGGCCTGTGCCCCAGGTCACAGCAAACCACTGGGAAGCCAGGAGCCCCGGGAACTGGGACGGGCCTCAGTTTACCCACCTGCACGATGGGCAGCTGTCCCCAGCCTCTGCCTGCTCTGCCCTACAGCCGACGGCTCGGGGCCCCGCACCCTCCCTGGCCTCCAGGACCTGCCACGCTGGACTGCTCTTGGCTTGTGGGCCCTGCGTGCAGGGAACAAAGTCCCCGGAGCACTGGGCCCAGCGGAGCTGCTCCTCCCCCACCCTTCTACCTCTGAGCCGCTCTGACTGGAGAAAACCGGATTGCAGCAGCTGTGGCCGCCACATGGCCACTTGACATTCACCCTTGGTCTAAACCTGGGCAGGCCTCCTCTCCTCGGAGCTGTAGGGAGAGGGACTGTGCCCGCCGGACTGGGGAGGAGACGAGACAGGAGCCAGGCCTGCCCGCCACTCCCGGGCCCAGGTGCCCCCCGCCAGAGGCGAGGCCGTGAGTGCCTGTCTTTGGGGCACATGTAACCTGGGGAGGGTGCCACTGGCGGGCTGGGGCGTGGTCCCAGAGCAGCCCCTGGGGACCCACCCTGTGCGCACCCCACGTGCGCAGCAGCCCACCCAGGGGCCCCCACCTGCATTCCAGGCCTCATCACCCACAGTGGGCTGAGCAAGGCAGGTCGCTTCCCTTCCTGGAGCCCTGGTTTCCCCATTTGTAAAACGGGCACACCCGTGCTCTCTCCCTGCTCAAGAGCCGGGGCTGGGTCAGGCCAAAGCCAGGGGCCTGGAGCTTCCTCCGTCTCCCACGTCCCCCACGTGGGTGCAGGGGCCCAGGTGCCGCGCTGTCCTCACAGCTGCCTCACAGGCTGCGCGGTAGCAGGAAACCTACGGAAGCCTGGAACCAGGACTGGGACCAGGCGCTGAAGTGTCCGACGCAGGCGTCACTCACGGCGGCCTCACCGCGGCGCCCCACAGCCACTTTTTTTTTTTAATGCAGGTATAATTTCTTTCCCTTTTTTAAAATGTAATTTCACTTTATTTGAAATACTGAGACGGAGATAGATCCTCCATTTGCTGCTGCTTTCCCCAAATGCCTGCAGCAGCCAGGAGCCTGGAACTCCATCCGGTCTCCTACGTGGGTGGCAGGGACCCAGCTCTGGGGCCACCACCTGCTGCTCCCAGGGGAGCCGGACAGCAAGTGCTGGGCTGCCAGGCAGACATCAGCCCTGAGGAGCTGCAGAACGCAGCGGGAGGCTGCGAGGCGGAGTGCAGCAGCCCAGGGAAGCGGGTCCTGCACGTCTGGTAACCTTGTCACCATCTGGTAACCTTGTCACCGCATCAGACGCACCCCCGCGGGTCCTTGCCCGACCCCTCCCCAGTCTGGGGCGAGGGTGAGCGGAGCCGCCCTCGCCCTGAACCCCGAGTTTGGGGGCCTCTTTCGTGGGCGACAAAGGGGTGAACACTCAGGAGCAGAGCTGGTGGGCGACACCCCTGACTGTGCGAGCCTTCTCCGGCCGGCTTCACCTTTGCCCATGCGCCCAGCGCTGTCCTCACCAGACTGTCGCCCGACCCGGTGCCGTGGGCCCGCTGGGTCCTGTTGGAGTTTGCCCCCCCACCCCCCCGCAGCAATGGAGCGCAGCCGCTTCCTCTCACGGGCTGCTACTGCCTCTGGGAAGCGCGGACCCCGTGTCCGATGACCGCGCCCTCGGTTCTGGAGGGGTCACTCGCGCCCGAGTGGAGGGAGGCGGGGTCCGGGCGGCAGGGACAGACCCAGGCGTGTTCTGAAAGCAGGGCCCTCGCCCCAAGCCCCCACCAGAGACCCTGGCTCACGTCCGTCAGCTTCGAAACAACTTTATTAGGCTGTTTGAAACAACTTCCGGCGCTTTCTTAATTTGCGTTTGGAGAACTCCAGTTGTAACTACAAGTATCTGCATACAACAATGATTTCCGCATTGATCTCTGCGTCCTATGTAAGCTTCCTCTCCAGGCCACTCCGGGGACCAGGGAGCCCGCGCTGCACCGGCGGGGCGGGGCCGGCCGCCCCTCCCCCAGCGAGAGGCACCTCCCCGCCTTGAAACTCAGAAGGGGCGAAATAAAGGAAACTGCTGATGCCACCTTCAGCCTCACGGAGGCGGCTCCGCCCGCCCCTGAGCTCCTAAGGCTGGTGGGGGAGCCCGCCCCAGGCCCGCAGGACACCCTCTCCTGGGCCGGCCCCTCCCCTCCCGCCTTGCTTCAGGCCTGGAGGAATGCCTGGACAGCTGGGGGCAGCTGGGGGCAGCGGGCGGCCACTCCAGAGCCCCCAGGTGGTGCCCGGAGGTGCAACCGACCATGAACATAAATATGAATAAAAAACGAACTTGAAAATGACCGGCTATTAAGTCAACAAATCTATAAAAATAGTTAGGACATAACTCTGTTCAAATAAATACAAAATAAATAGGCTCCAAGCAGTGACACGTGGCATCTGTGGAATGTGAGGCTGGTCCCACTGGGGTCCGGGTTGGGGCTGTGCGGAGGCCGGGCGCCCACTTCCGGTCTCGCGGCCCACTTCCGGTCTCCCGTCCGGAAGCACAGGGCTGCTTGCTTGTCCAGCTCGCCTCTCTTTCCCAACAACGCGTCGTCGAGGCCTGCGACACCTCGGCCTTTTCTCCCGGGGCACGGACCCAGGGCAGCCGCCTGCCCTTCGCCCCAGAACAGGGTCCTCGGCTCCCCAGGGCCGCCCGGTGGGGCCGGCGCTTGGGTCTGGGCGAGGCCAGGCAGAGCACACGCAGGACCAGCGTGGGAGAGCTCGGCAGAGGGCGGGCACGAAAGCTAGACCCCATCCTCGGCCCCGCACGGCGAGCGCCGTGGCCGCAGGAGAGCAGCGGGGACCGGGAGGCCGAGGGCTGGGGGGCGCGGAGGAGGAGGGGTGGGGAGTGGGCCCGGAGCCCCTCCTCCCCAGCAACCAGCGGAAAGCGGGGAGGCCACGGGGACCGCCGATGCAGAGGCGGCTGCCTCCAAGCTGGCCGGCCTGCAGGCACTGCAGCAAACGCCCTGGCCCCAGGCCCTCGGCCCAGATCCCGCTGACCCCTGGGCCCTGAGCAACGCCCGCGGGGCTTCCCGGAATGGACGCAAGGGCCGGCCGGGGCAGCAGGACAGACCCCAGCGGCCGCCAGCTCCGCCCCCGATTCCACAGCTTGGCTCAGTCGGCGTAGGCGTAGTGTTGGCACATTCACAGAATGGGATGGTCCACGTCCGGGGCAGCGGCCCGGACCGGCGAGTCCGCGGCCCCAGGGCTGTCACCGCGACTGCACGCCCAGGCTGATCTTGAGGTTCTCGTACACCACGTAGCTGATGCTCACGGCCGGGATCACCTTCATGAAGTTGGGGGCCAGCCCCCGGTACAGCCCGAAGGCCCCCTCTGTCCGCAGGATCTGTCTGAAGAGGCTGCTCATGGTCACCTCGGGGGCGCCCTCGATGGAGGCTGCAGGGGAGAGGCCGCCGGTCAGCTGCCTCCCAAGCCCAGCCGGCCTGCGGATGCCCCGGGCCTGGCTCAGGGCTGGCCTTACCTTGCGCCTGCATCCGGGTCCTCACCAGGGCCAGCGGGTAGCTGGCCAGCTGGCCGCAGGTGCTGGACATGGTGCCACAGGCCAGGAGCACAAACACGCCGGGGTCGGCACTGTTCACCGCGTAGCGCTGCAGCCAGGCGTTCTTGAGCGTCTGGAGGGAAGGGGGGAGCTCTGGCGAGACTGGGGGAGGGGGTCACCGGATCCGCACTGGAGCCGTGTCCTCGTCACATGGGCACCGCGAGGCCCCACTGTAACTTGATTTGCTGGCCTGGGCCCTGCCTGCCTTGGGTTTCTGCTGTCACCGGATCAGAGAGGGAGCCGGCGTGGGGCCACGAGAGGCCGCCGCGCCCCTGGCGTGCAGATCCCAAGGACAGGCTGAGCAGAGCCGTGCTGGACTCGCAGTGAACACAGAGTGGGAAGGGGTGCAGCCCCTGGTGCCCCCAGCCCCAGGGTCGGCGGCCCTGCGCGGGCCTGGGCCTCACCTCGTAGACGGCGAGGTCGATGCCGGCGTAGGGGATGATCCCCAGCATGTTGGGGACGTAGCCTTTGTAGAAGGCGGCCACCCCCTCTCTGGCCAGGATCCGCCGGGCGCAGTCCAGCATGCCTGAGTACTGGCCGGTCTTCCGCAAGGCCATCCGGGTCTTCAGAACCTGCAGAGCAGGCCGGCGGGGAGCCTGAGTGCTGCCCCACAAGCGCTGCCCGCCCCCCGGGGACCCCGGGCGCCCCTCACCTCCATCGGGTAGATGCTGCTCTGGGCAATGGCCCCCGCCAGGGAGCCAGCCACGAGTCTCTCGTGGATCCTCAGAGTCTCCTGGTCACTCCCAACGAGACGCTTGATCTAGAACAGAGGCAAACAGACCCGTGGGTCCACCCGCAGACCACGGTCCCTGTGCCTGCCCACCCTTCCAGGGAGGGGGCGGGCACTCTCACTGAGACCCCGTGTCCTCGGCTCACTTCACACTGCCCAGAAACGGGAGGAACTGGTGGCAGACGGAGGTCAGGCCCAGGCCCCCTCGCCTGCTGCCGCCCCTAGGGGGTGAGGCTGGCTCTGGGGTTTCAGAAGCCTTGCGCAGGGGGAGGTCTTGCGCACCTGCCCGCAGGAGACCCTCACCTGCTCGTAGGCCATGAACTTGATGGCCGACTCCGGGGCGATCTTGAGGACGTTGATGCCGTTGCCCCGCCACAGGGCCCTGGTCCCCCCCTCGCGGATCATCTGGGTGAAGCCGCCCACAATGCACATGTTGTTGCTGCGCGAGGCGTGCACCTGAGGGGGAGAGCGAGGTCAGACGGCGCAGGGCTGTGCAGGGAGGGGCCTCTCCCTCCTGGGTATTCTGGAGAGCAGCACCCTGGGATCCAGTGGCACTAATCTGAGAGCTGAGTGTCCATTGTGCGCCAACACCGTGCCGAGCGCCTTTCTAAAGACCGCTGTACCTCAAATGAAGGAGCAACCTGAGCCTCCCGTGATGGACGCCGTCCCAAAGGCGCGCAGGTGGAGTTCCCGGAGCCCGCCCCAGGGCTGCTCCTCGGCTCTGCCACGTTCCTGGGGCCTCTGTGACAACACAGACCACCAGGACCACCACGGACCTGTTCAGGCTTTACCCTCGGAGGTGCTGGGAAGTCTGAGAGTGCACCCCGGGAGGGAGCCCACAGGGCACAGGGCTGGCCAGTCTGCAGACAGACATTGAAGTCCAGAGCACCCTCGTGTGGCTCCATTTCGCAACCGTGCCCCTGACATCATCCTCGCTTATCTGTGCCCTGTGGACGTGGAACTGCATGTCTGGCCAGGGCGAGGGCACTGCTACCCACTGACACCTGGGCCAGGGGCGGGGCTGGACTGGCCTGTGCAGGAAGCACACAGGGGAGGTGGCTCCTGCCACACCTGGTCTCACTGGTTTCACCAGGCCACCTCAGGCCGCTGTAATGTGACACCTGGCCTAAGTGCTCAGGCAGAACTAGATCAGCCACTCGCCAAAGGTCGCTGCTGCCTGAATGCACTGGTACCTTGGAGTGGCTAGAAAGTTCCGGTCAAAGCAGGGCCTGGCTGGGGGTGGGGGGCAAACCACCAAAGAGCCGCCGGCGTAGCTTTCAACCCTGGCTGCACGGTAGTCATCCGGGGCTGGGAATACCTGCTGGAACCCTGACTCCGGGTTCCTTTTCCGCGAGTGACAGCTGACCAGGAAGGGTTGAGCCCAGGGGTTTGTTGAGAAGAATCCAGTATCAAATGTTGCGCGTCCTCCTCGGTGTGTGTGTGTGTGTGTGGCCACACCGCGCACTAGAACGTCCCTACTACTGGGGACACTGGCCTGCGCCCACACCACAGGACGAGTTCAAGTCTTCGTTACTTCTTCAGTACAGGGGTGTTTTGCTGTCTGACACTGGCACGGCGTGGACGCGCCCCTGCCTGGCCCCATCATCCCCTACTGTCTCAGCAGCAGCACCAGCAGTCCATAAAGGAACAGCCGACCCACGATGCAGAACCTCACGGTGCTTAGCAGACGCAAGCCCAGTATGGACTTCCCATCTGCCGTGCAGTGAGACAGAGTCCTTATGAAGGGAAACAGTGTGCTTTTCAATCGGTGACTCAGACCAGAGTTCATGATCTAACCAACAGGAGGGGAGTGCTTTCTCCTAAACAGAACCCCTCACAGAAGACAAAGCCCAGAGGGCCTCTCACCTGCATGAGCACCTTCAGTCTGTCCAGCGGGGCCGTGCAGGTTCTGGACACGGCCCCCGCCCCGCCGCCGGCCACGAGGTGTCTCCACCACATCCCCGTCTGCCGCTCCTCCACCGTGAACTCATCGGGGACTGTCAGGTTCTCACCCACATCAAAGATCTGGGAGGAGGACAGCAGGGACAGAGTCAGGCCTGCACGGGCCGCCCCGGCCCCCGCCCCTCGCCTCCTCGGGGGGCTGTGCACACGGCCAGAATGCTGAGCGGGCCGGGCGTGAGGCCCTGGGGCCCTCCCTCCTGTCACACGGAGGGGCAGGGCTCTTATCCCAGCTTGCGGCCTCGGCAGGCCCAGCACGGAATCTAAGGTGGGCCCAGCGGGGGCAGACTGCTACAGAGCCGCAGGAGGGCCCTCTCCGCAGTGCAGGGAGCTGGGTCAGCGGCAGCTGGCGGCATCCCAGTGGGGGCGACCAGCCCGGCTGGACTGAAGGATCAGCCCCTTCAGGGGTAAAGCCCCCTGAAACCCGATGTCTGACCAGATGGCCAGGCCTTGGCAAACACTGGGGCTGCGCTGCCCAGGGATGCCGACTCCCTGGGCGGTGCCCATGCTGGTCACGGCCAGCTCTGCTCTGAGCCCAGTGCTGCAGGCGAGAGACCGGCCAGGGCTGGCGGGAGGGGCAAGCCAAGTGTGCTGGGGTCTCGGGAGGCAGGGCTGATGCCAATCCCATTTCTGAACAAAGATCACAGCCGGGGGGTTCAGAGGGCAGCGCCGGGCCACGGTGAGGACACCAAAAATGGGTGGTGGGGGACAGCTCAGAGCTCTCCATACGTGCTCTCCACAGAGCTGTTTCTTCCCTGCCCCTCCCCACAGCCCTGGGAGGAAGGTTGCCCCGGCCCTGGGAAGACAAGAAGCATCCGGGGAGTGACACTTGTGGTGACCTTGGGGGACAGGCTGCTGGGGGAGGAGGGCGGCTGTGGCGTGGGGAGCGGGCCGGGGGCCGGGCTCACCGTGGAGTGCTTCCAGTACAGGATGATCTCGGGAATGTTCTCCACGGGGTGCAGCAGGTGGTAGTCCCGCCACTCGTTCCAGTCGATGGTCATCGTGCCGTTCTTGTCCATGCTGCAAGAGGGGCCACGGGTGAGGCTGTGCTGCCCGCACCCGCACTCCCCGCCGCGGGCAAGCGCACAGCCAGCCGCTCGGCGCGCCACAGAACCCTGCTCCCGTCGGGCACAGCGGTCAGAGGGGGGACACGGGTACTTACTAGGTGACAGGGCCCCAGAAGTGGCCCGTCCGTATTCTGACAGACAAAGGAGAACGCAGAGGAGAGAGGAGAAACAACACAGATAAGTGCCCGGAGCGGACGCCGCGAGGACAGCGCGAGGACAGTGGCGAGCAGGCGCAGGTGGCTGTGTCCCCATGGCCGTGGCCCCGTGACCGGCCTGCTCGGGGGCCTCAGGGTCTCAGCCAGGAGAGAGGGGGTTCTCAGGCTGCTGGGTGGGGTTTCTTGGCCGCAACGGCCCGCTAGCAAGCGCCCGTCAGCAGCAGTGTTCAAGGCAAGCCCCCAGCCTGGGAGAAGGGAGCCCCTGTGACCCAGCCCCTCCCTCTATTTTCCGGGCTTTTCACTGACTGGAACCCCCTCCCCTCCACACACACAGTGGTCATCTCTCTCCCAGGGGATTTGTGGCTGCACGGGACAGCTTCCCGCAAAGCCCGGCGTGTCCTCGCCCACAGGAAGGCCACGTGCGGGGGTGGCTGGAGGCAGTGGCGGGCGCCCCGGGGCGATCTGAGAGCCCCCCTGGGCCACAGGCCGGCTGGGGAGGCGGAAGCCGGTCGAGCGCTCACCTCCTGAGGATCTTCTCGGCCTGCTGCTCGGATATCTTGACTCCCAGGTCCCGCAGGGACTGCATGATCTCCTGGGCATCGATCCGTCCTGCGGCGACAAGGGCCGTGAGCCGGGGCCGGGCGGGCCGGCCGGGACCGAGGCGAGCCTCACTCACCATCATTCTTTTTGTCCAAGCTCTTAAACACCAGCCTCAGCTTCTTCTCGTGGTCCTGCAGGTAATGGACAAACTCTTCAAAGTCCAGCTGCCCGTCAAGATCCTTGTCGCCAGCTTGTACGATTTTCTAGAAAACAAAAGCAAGGCTCTGTGTTTGCCTCACGCGCCAGCTTCCCACGTCCCTCGTGCCGCTCCTTCTCCTGGACACAACTGTGCTAATCCACGAATGGAGGGGCCCTGGGACCCAAGATCCCTGTGTTCTCCTCCCACGGCAGCCACGGAAGCGAGTCACGTGCCAGAGCCACCACCCAGATCCCGAGCCAGGAGCAGAGGAGGCCCCAGACGAGCCCCTCGGGCAGTGGCCAGTGGCGCGGCCTGGTCTGGGTGCCTCCCAGGGTCAGGTGTGCAGCCCCACTGCGCGCTGTCCCTGGTGCCTGGCCGCAGGCCCATGTTCCTGGCTGAGTGCTAGGGGTGGCCCTGGATTCTGATGCCCTCAGCAGCTGTTCGTTGTGTCCTCAAAGTGGCGCCGGCCCAAGAACACCCTGGTGGCCAGGGTGAAGGTTCAGGGCACAGCCAACCCTGCTGATGCCTGCTTGGTGGAGACCCTGCCAGCCAGGAGCCCTCAGGAAGCTGTAAGAGGGGCAGGACCCAGAGGCACAGCCAGGCCCTGGTCTCCACAGAGCCGGCTGTCCCGACCAGGCCCTGAAAACCAGGACAGCTGTGCCTGGTGGGAGTTCAGTGAGCCCAGGAGGCTTTGAGAGGCTTTGTCCCTCAGTCAGAACTTGGCACCCGCTGTGCTCAGATGCGTGTTGGGTTTGGGACACGCACCTCCTATTCCTCCGCAAGAACTGGGCTCCACCTTAGTAGTGAGCGCCTTGGCTGCGGTGCAGACCCCTAGGAGCGGGGTCCTAGGAAACAGGAGTTCAGAGAGGCTAAGGGCTTGTGCAAGGTCACACAGCCGGGCCTGTCCGCCTGCTGAGCCGCCTCCCGCAGAGCCTGCTCCACCCCGAAGCCTGGCCTTGCGAATACGGGGGACAGACCCGAGTCCAACTCACTGACGCCCAAACTAGGACCGTGAGCATCCAAAGGACAACACCTGCAGCCTTCCGGTGCTCCCTGTGAGCAAGACATCCACTCACACCCACGAGTGTTCCCAGCCAGCGGGCTTTGGAAGCCATGGACCCTAGGCTACCTTGGGCTCTGGGAGAATCACCCCCAGGTTCCTCCTGCAGTCACACCCTGGACCTCAGCAGACTCTGTGACTAGACAGACATCCTGTAACCTGGCAGGCTAATGCATGAGATGTGGCTGGAACCCGGGGCGGATGCTGGGACACACTGGGGTTACGTTAACCTGCCAAGGACATCTGCGTGCGTCCAGGCCTGTCACTGCAGACTTCCAGCAGGAGCAGGACAGAGGCTGCACCCCATTTAGGGCGGGGGGGGACGCTACCCGTGGAGCTCTCTCTCCCCAGGGGCCTTACTGGCTGCCCTGATACAGACAACCCAAGGATGTCACTGCCGCTGACTTCCAATATTCTCCAAACACCTGCTTCCACCTTAAAGCCACTGGGCCTCCTCTCTGTCTCCTTCTGGAGACACACTCCTGACCCCCCAACCCCCACTGCCCCAGTGAGCCCTGGGGGACAAAGATTAACCAGTGACCCCTGCCTCTGTAGCTCAGCTTCCCTCTCTTCAAAAGGTCACACCACCTGTGGCCTCCCGGCTCCACGGGGACACCCTGGGATCTGGACAGGTGACCCTCACCGCCACACCCAGGGACAGCACTGCCAGCTCCGGCATGGTCAGCTCTACCCTGCAGCCCCAGTCCCACCCCAGCAAAAGCGCTCCATTCCAATATCCACCCCACCATGCGCCTCCCCTAGAATCCCCGACACGCTCATGGGGCACGGGAAAGCAGCCATCCCATGACGCTTTGGGTCGGCCACAGCCACAGGATGACGACGGGAGAAACTCCCACATTTCAGACATTCTTTCCTCCCGGCAGGGGGATGGGGCGCAGCTCATCCATTCATTCAACAAACGCGGACTCTCTGCCCCTCCGGACTCCCTGCCCCTCCGTCTCTCCCCTCCGTCTCTCCCCGCCCCCAGACCTGCTTCCACTGGCGGTAGGTGGAGAACTCCTGGGAGGGGATAAAGACGCTGAGCTTGAAGATGGACTTCAGCTCCGTGGGCAGCCCCTTGGATTCGAAGTACTGGAACTCGGTCTGGGCCTCTCCGATGAGCGGCATGTACAGGCACAGGCAGAGCATGCTGGCGGGGGCCCGGGGCCGGGAGTTCAGCTGCTGCGGGGAGCCAAAGTGCCAGCAGCCTCGGGACCCGGGAATGCCGCCTGCCCTGGGAAACTTGCATAAGATATGCCGGGCCCCAGCTGTCATTGGCTGCTCCAGCCCTGCCCTTTTACTTAATAGAACAAAAATCCACCCCCAGTGAGTCCTGCCCGTAGCCAATGAACGGCCCTGCAGGAGCCAGCGGCATCAGGTTGCTCAAGCGCAGGGGTGCAAAGAGCAGGAGTGACGTCATCGGCCTGCTGTCCACTCCCGCAGAGGCAGCGCTCTGCCCTGTGGGTCGTCCGGTGCCCAAACAAACCTTCACCTCTCCAAACAGACAGACTGCCATGCCTGCTTTCATACAAGGTCCCCGAGTGCGTCACACAATACTCTGTTTTTTCCCCTAGATCTTCCCCGACAGAAAGATCGACGGAGGGGAGACTGAACCAATGTCCGCTGAAGGCAGAATCCGAGAACAGGGTCCCTGGCGCCACGGAATGTGGCCCTCCCTGCGGGCCCATGCGTCCCACATCAGGGCTGGCGGCCTGCAGAGCCTAGTCTTCAGGGGTGGGCCCAGCCGGCTCCCACGCCAGAGCACGCTGGCGCCCTCAGGTGCACACATCCAGCACCAGGAACCTCTCACGGGCCTGGCGTGGAGGCAAGGGACTGACCAATGCGGGTGGGAAGACGACGCTGCCGAGAGCCCGTGGTCAAAGCCCAGGCCCGCAGGGCACACTGGAAGCTCAGGGCAGCAGTAGCTTCCTGGCCGGAAAGCTCCTCCACAGGGCAGCTTCTCAGATGTGATCAGTGACAGGCAACGCGGCCCCCGGCCACACGGACATTTCCCAGATGCGGGGGCTCACGGGTTTTGCTAGCAGATGATGGCCCAGGCGGCCGCACTGTCCGGCCCAGCCTCCCCATGGATTCCCGCTGCAGCGGAAGGGATCATGGCACCAGGTGGGGGTGCGGGATTGGCCTCACTCGGCTGCTCCTACAGGCATTCCACGTCCTAGTGTTAGGCAGGAAGTTAGGTATGAGCTTGTGTGTGTGTGATAAAGGCCTCCGGAGAAGACTCCTACGTCCAGCATCTGCATCTGCATCTCCAAGTCATCCCGATAATGCTGCAGGGGCAGCCCAGTGCTCCTACCCGATAACCTGCCAGGTGGGGGCCCCGCCCCTTCTGCCTGACAAATCTTCCACAGTCTCCCAGGTGCAGCCCAGTGTCAGCATTTCAAACACCCTGCTCCGGATCCCCATTCTCTAGGGGTCCTGCTCACCCTTCCTCTGAACCCAGGATGGCCCAGCTAGGCTTCCTCCTGTCTGATACCTTCAGGGGAAAACTCAGATAGGAGCTTCTTAATATTTACAGCCATAAAACCCTTTGTTTCAGGAGGAGATGTGTAAAGACAAAGACCCATCTCCTTAAAACCCCCAGCCTCAACCGGACTGCGCGCTCAGCCCTCTGCCTCTCTGCTGAGCCGCCCGCCTGGTCTGGCCAGGTGTCATCTCTCCACAACCATGTAACCTCGCCCACCCCCGCCCCGCCCAGTCTCTCAGGTCCTGTCTGGAGAGGTGCCCATCCATTCTTACAGATGTCCCTTCCCTAATAAACCTTGCTATTTTACCTCCCACTACTCTCTGTCTCACGCCTGAATTCTTTCTTGCGTGAAGACAAGAACCCTGCAATTTCTCTGGTAACATTAGTAGACGTGGACTCTCGTGGCCAGGGTGGGTAACAATGGATGCTGGTCACTCGGGGATCAGTGACATTGAAAGGACCCCTCCCTTCATTAGAAAGCTTTTTGTTGGGATGGGTCTGTGGCACAGGGGTGAGCTGCAGCCGGGATGCCAGCTCGGTTACCACAGCGCCTGGTTTGAGTCCTGGCTACTGGGCTTCCGATCTGCTTCCTGCCAAGGCGCACCCTGGGAGGCAGCAGATGATGGCTCAAGTACTTCAGTCCCTGCCGCCCACTGGGCTCCTGGCTTAGGCCCGGCACGGCCCCAGCTGTTGTAGGCATTTGGGGAGTGAACCAGTGGATAGAAGCTCTCTCTCCCTCTCTGCCAACTCTGCCTTTCAGATACACAAATCTCTAACTAACTAGATGGGCTTGCCGAGAGCCCCCGGGGAGGAGCAGAGCAGGCATCACACGGCGGATTCTGAGGAGGAGACTCGTCGGGGAGGGTCGGCAGGCCCTGGACTCTCGGAGAGGGGCCAAGGAGCCTCTGGATTCTCCGGGGACACTGCCGCTCAGGCTGCACGTGCCCCCAAGCCAGAACGCTGCATGCGCTGTTTGAATGCACACCTTATCTTTCCTGCCTGGGTCCCTACAGGCAAGTACAGTCCCTGCACCCCCTGGCCTGAAGGGACCTCTGGTCAGGATCACGGAAGTGCTCCTTGGCAGCTTCCGGATGAGTGAGCTGGCTCAGCCAGCCTCCGAGACCCCAAGGGACTCACACAGGACCCCCTCTTGATGAAGACCTGCTTTTCTGAGCATTTGTAAACAGTGTCTCCAGGGAATGTTATCCAACCGAACAGGATAATGTATTATCATGTTTTAAAAAGACTCACTTACTGGGGCCGGCGTTGTGGCGCAGCGGGTTAACGCTCTGGCCTGAAGCGCCGGCATCCCATGTGGGTGCAGGTTCGAGTCCTGGGTGCTCCAATTCCAATCCAGTTCTCTGCTATGGTCTGGGAAGGGAGCAGAGGATGGTCCAAGTCCTTGGGCCCCTGCATCCGAATGGGAGACCTAGAAGAAGCTCCTGACTCCTGGCTTCGGATTGGTGCAGCTCCAGCTGTTGCGGCAGATTGAGGAGTGAACCATCAGATGAAAGACCTC